AGGTCAAGGTCATTGGAGGGGATGTCTCCTAAATAATTACCCATTTGGGTTTTAATTTTTAATTTTTAATTTTTAATTTGGTACAATAGTTTTTTTTAGGAGTAATAATTTTTGATAGAGAATTATGCCAGTACTTGGGTTGGAATAGGAAGACTATCAATAAGAGTATTTTTGAAGAATTAAAAATGTCAAGAAAAATATCAAGACGACTGTCATCTATATTTTTTGAGGAGTAACGAGGAATATTTTTTGAAGGAGAATTAATGATGTTTTGTATGTGTTGGAATAGAAATAATTAAATTACGGGAAAAAAAAGGAAAAAATTTGTTCTACAAGAGTAAATATCTATTTCTCAAAATGAATAATTACTTTTATATCAAAGAGAGAGAGAGAAAACATTTTTTTTTAAAAACCTTTTATTTCTTCAATTGTATTTAAAATGATTTAAATACATTCAATGAAAATATTTTAATAAGAGTTGAGATATTGACATTGAATTTTATTTTATTCTAAACGCACTAAACATTACTTTTTCTATTTTTGTTATGTTTTGTTATTACATAGAGAAAACTATTTATCTTTTTTTTAAATATCATTGAGAGAAGAATTCAAATATTTGTTGAAATTTCAAGTTCTACAATTAGATTTTGCAAAATTAAAAAGGAAAGGGTTTATCGTTCTTCTTTCAACAGAAAATTCATATTATTTTATGAGGAAATATTAGTTATTACAAATCTTGTTTAATTAAATGGAAAGTTAGCTTCTGCGAAAGTATTGTACAGATATTTCATTGGCATTTTATATTTATTAAATGAATTTTATTTTAGAAAAAATCGCCAAGACACTGGATACTCAACATCCAGCTCTCGTAATTCTAGTAAGCATGACAAGTTTGAAGAAATGAAAAAATTATCACGTAGAGAGGAAGCTAAACGTAACATTTCTAATGAGAGACGTAAAAGAAGAAGGAACAGAATGTCTTGTGAGAAAAGTGAGAAGTTAATAATGATTAAAAATGACAATGATTTCGACAGAAACTCCATTCGAAAGTTCGATAGTGAGAATGAGTCCTCCAGTGAAGAACCAACTGAAAGTAAAGTTATCAGAGAAGGCAGTGAATCGGAATCCAATAGAAAGAGGTAAGCTGTTGAAAAGTTAAGATAAAATCCACAAAGACTTTATTACAAGTGTTAGAGAAAGAAAGCTTTTAATAAGTTTATAGTACGTTGTATGTGTGTGCTATAATTTTTAATATACATAATAGACGTTTAAAAAATGTTGGATTTTTCTTTTGAAACTATTTTTGATCTAGAATGCTTTTTTCCAGAACTAATAAAAATAATAAAATTTTTAAAGTAAAAAAAATTAGTAAGCTTTAAAGAATATATCTTCAAATCAAGTTTTTTATTCTTTGATAAATAGTAGAACACAAAAATAAGAAATCCAGAACATTTAGCACATAAAAAAGCACTTAATATTAATACAGTAACCGTTTCGATATTTTGTCGAGTGGGTACTAGCTCTACAGAAGTGTAACATTTTGTATTTTTACAGTGGGCGTAAGCATGCGCATCGAAAGTGCAGACAAGGCAGAGATTAATAACAGAATTTGGGTATTGATATATTATTAATTATTTAGTACAATTCTAGTCACATATATTCCTTTTATACAGACTGGAATTAATGGCAGTGCGGTATTAATTTCAAAAACAAAGTTTTATCATAAAGAGAATGCTAAATAAAATTTTTAAAGTCAAACGAGGGAATGTTGTTTCAACGTTGCAGCAACATTAATAATTCATATAAGAAAATCAACATATATTAAGAGTGCGATTTAGTTTTGAGGGTTTTTCAAGAGATGGCACTAATGTCAGTATTATCGAAGACATTCTGATCACAGGTATTACAATATTTCTTATTCCTTTAATATTACTCCATGATATTAAGTAGTTTACTAATAATAGACACAGTAAACATCGTGTTTATGCCATTTTAAAAATGGAGCTTTCTAAAGAGCATTTTCGATATGCGTTACTTTTGTTTTTTAATCAGAAGAAAACGGCGGCTGAAGGTCATAGAATTCTGATAGAAACTTATGGTGATGTTGCTCCATCAATTAAGACATGTGAATATTGATTCTGTTGATTCAAAAGTAATGATTTCAATGTTAACGACAAAAGTTAGAAAATGCAAATTTGCAAGCATTATGGGACGACAATCCAGCACGATCCACTTCAGAACTTCCTAGAGAATTAAATGTTGATCGATAATCGTACAACAGTTATTAAACGTTTACGTGATACGTTATTTAAATAAATCAGTTTTTGAGAAAAAAACCTCAAAACTAAATCACACTCCTAATAGATTCGACGTTGAAAAAGCACTTTTACAATTCAACATTCAACATTACAACATCTCAGCAATGTTCTTTCAATGTTTTATACAAAATATGATCTTGACATGAAAATAATACCCATATAGCATACTAATTTTGAATCAATATCTCAGAAACGTTAAATTGCAACAGTGCAAATGTTGCATCAACATTCAAAATAGAACAGCAGCGTCTGCAAAATGCTAAAAAAACGCTTACATGCAATTTTTGCGCTTTCTTAACTCTTTTGTAGGCGCTGTGTACTTCTTAGGATCTGATCGCAAAATTTAGTTTTAATTGTTAAAAAAGCATTACAGAAACGTTCAATGTCTGTTAAATTTACAAAACAACATTGATCCATCGTTGATTCAAAGTATGCAGTGTAGATTTTATTGAATCAATATTTTTTCAACATTTATTCAACTTACAAGCAATACAAATTTATATATAGATAGATATATATTTATTTCTTGTCTTTCGGCTTTGAAAGGTGTTTTACGTCAAATTGCAACATTGAAAATGTTACATCAAACATCAAATGTAGATTCAACGTTGAAAGTACGTTGCGGAAACGTTCAATGTTTGTTGACTCTTACAAATGTTGCTGTTCAACATTGATTTAACATTAATTCAACGTATATAATGTATATTTTAATGATTCACCAGTAAAAAAATCTTTCGTATACTAATTAAACTAGTTTCATTGTTAAAATAAATATTACTGATTAGCATCGTAATTCAGACTATTCGACAAAATTATGATAAGAAAAGCATTTCCTTCTGAACCCATCCTGTACCACGCCCAACGCTGTTTGACCTCTACAATCGTATGCAAATTGGTATTTCGACGATCTACAAACACTGAATATTAATGGATGTATGTAGGGTGTCCCATTTTAATTAACGCACTTGAATTTCTCCAGAATCATGCAAAATATCGAAATCCTCTTTTACGAAGTTATAGTCATATAATACAGGGACATACTTTTATTAACAAGATTTGACCTTGAGTGGAACCATTAAGGTCAAACGAAGACCAACTTCATTTTCGTAAATGACAATCTAATTTTTTAAGTACTTACGTTCGTAGCCATATTCATTACGAGTTCAACCCATTATGCCACAAGAGGTTTGTTTTCTGTTCCTGCCCTGGTTGCACTAGTTCAAAAAGTGTACACTAAAGCGTTTTCTGTTCCCAAAATGGCGTCAGCAACGCTGTTTTTTGTTCCAGTGCAACAGAACTCAGTGCATGAGTTCACTGTCCCACACAACAAAAATTGATCCTAGGTACATCCTACAGATGTATGTCGAGGGATTTTCAAACATCTAGAGTACGTACCTGAAGAAACTTAGAAGATATTTAGGATATACTGAGGATATTTATATGTCCGCTTATTCTACATCCATAGGACATCATTGTTTAGATATCATTAGGATGTTTCTGGATATTCTAAATTTCATCCTGTCTTTATCCAGTGGACATCCTAAAATCTTTTACGTATCTTAAACCCGTGTAGAAAAATACTACTGAGCATTACTGCAGTAGTACCTTTTTACAAGGGTATATCCGCGTCTCGGTACGATACAATATGCAGGAAATGAATATGCGTCACAGAAACTAACTACGAATAACTCTATTTAAAAAAAGCACTTTCAGGGTAGCGATCATGTAATTTTTTTCCTAGGGCGGAAACGTGAAAAGTGAAAATTTTTTGTATGTATGTGTGTATATGTACGATATACATACGTAAAAATTTTCACTTTTCATATTTCCACTCTAGCGAAAAAGTTACATGATCGCTACCCAGAGGCTCCATGAGCACACTCTGATCAAGCTAAAAGTGACGAACTCCATTTGCATACGCTTCTTTATAGAGATCCGCGTCATTTTCTCCTCACGGAAAACGAGTCCATCTCGCAGCGCAGCCAAGCGGCATAGTACGCAATACAGCCGCGAGATGGATTCGTTTTAATGAAAAATTTTCACTAAAACAGTACTTACAATCGATAGAACCAATTTTGTAAAATATACCGAAAACTCCTTTTGCTTTGTCAATTAATGACCATAAACTTATTTAAAAATAAATTATGCACAAAAAACAAAAGCTATAGCTGCAACTGTCAAATTAATAACATATAAAAATAAATATGATTAAATACTTCCCAAAACAAAAGATAGTTTTCAGTATGTCTGTGTGGGATATTTATGTATACATTTAAAAAATTAATAATTAAATTACAAAGATATGTCTATAATACGTAAAATACGTAAATGTATATGACGTATATATGTCGAAAGTTGAAAAATGCAATTTATCTAAATGCAATTTGATCACTATATGCAATACATTTTATATTAGTACAATGATAATTACAAATGTCCTGAGCTAATCATATGGATGCTTTAATGTTTTAGATCAGAATGGGATCAATCTGATCAAATTAGGATATCCTAAGGAAATACATTGCTATGTAGGCCTTTTTTTTATTTTATCTAATTATTAGCCATTAATATTTCAGTATAAAAATGGATACATTTTTCAAAAATTTTGAAGCAGTATTAAGGAAGTATTTTTACGTAAAATATTTCCAACGTTATAAAATAATCAGGATTAAGAATAGATGTTACAAAAAAATTTTTCAGTCAATCCTTATATATCCTTTGTGAATTTAAACTAAACCGCGGCAGCATCGTCCGTGTTTCGCAGTAGCGCAGCCGCTTTAACGACGTCACCACCACACTGGTTCAGTATCACTTTACAATCTTCGAGGCCGACAAAACTATTTTCCTTTTTCAATAGTCCTTGAAGCCGTTCCAGTTTAATTGCAGCTAGAACATCCCATTCCGTGACATTCAATGCAGCGATGCAGGATTCTGGGGTTGACTGTTGCAACACCTTCAGCATGATTCGTACTTCATCAGATTGTTCCCCGTTACGAGGTCCGCGAGTTCTTCGTGTGTTTGGCCCGTCACAAGCAAATTCTAATAGATCTTCGCAAGAAACATGATCCGATTGTCGCGACAAGTCACTCACGATGTCACAACTCGATGTTTTTTCGTTGGATAAGTGATAAGCTTTTGGAAGAGTAGTCAAATGAAAATTGTTGTTTGAGCCAATATGTACCAAAGGTTCCTCACAATGAAAAGCTTCGTATTTGGAAGGGATTTCTTCCACGTTTGTTTGTGAAGAATAATTTAGTGGTGTCTGCTGTATTGTTGTAGACGGAATTTGAACTCTGATCGAGGAATTCATCTTGTTCCAGTCTTCTGATCTATGAGAACTAATTGTCATCGGATCCTGACTTGGATCTCTTTCCGTGTTTTTTTGTATTTTAGATGCAAAACTTTTTAAGGAGAACTTCGATTCGGCGCTGATTTTCCTGCATAACTTATCGGTCATTGTTGATGAATTACTCAATTGTTTCTCATTGCTTGTTTCCGAAACATTCTGACGTACATCCAGCATGTCGCCGCAGTCGATTAAGTTATCTGAGAACTCCAGCAAATCCTCCGAGATCACGCTACATCGTCGAAGACGGTATTCTTCGATAGGTAATGAATCCAGTGCAGCTAGCTCGGAATCTATGCGTTGTTCGAATTCCTCTGGACTGAAAATTTTAAATTTCTATATTACAAGCTGCATCTAATTATGGATAAAGCGCTCGATGCAAAAGAGCGGACTAAATTGACAAGGAAACTCATGGAAATGCGCCTTCTCGATTTTTATGAGTATTGAATGTTATTTTCTAGACAAAAATGAGGGACACTTTTTTGTAAGGATTCAATCACATTTTTAGAGATGCAATATCTCTTTGAAAAAAATCAATTTTTTTCTTTTGAAGCGAATATCGTCGAAACTATAAAATAGGAAAAAATGTTTTAAATAAAAGCTAAATAGTGTTTGAAAAGTATTTTATAATAATAATTTCAAAAAAAAATTGTGTAAATAGAAAAATTTCTATTTATAAAAAATAAATATTGAAAAATTTTTTATATCATCACTGTTATGTACTTTTAAAGCCTTTCAACTTTTATTTCAAACATTTATCTATCTTTTATAGTTTCGACTTTCAAATTTTCGCGATATTTGCCTCGAAAAACAATAACCGATTTTCTTCAAAGAGGTGTTGCACTCATTAATGCGATTGGACCATTATAAAAAAATATGTGTCCTTTATTTTTATCATTTAAAGCTTATCAGTATCAAGCATTTCCATGGATTTTGTTGTATGTCGAAAAAGTCATCACATGATTGTAAAAATGTATCATATAATATGTTGCATTTAATTACATACATGGTGTAAGTGTTTCATATTAGTCATCATAAATATACAGAGCCCGCTAAAAGTTCCGGGCCGGCTGAATATCTCGGACAGTATTTTAAAAAAAAATGCTTTAGACAAAAATTGAAGGGTTTAACAAGATCTATTTACTGATCCTATCAGTTTGATCTTAGGTAGCGTCGCCAAGGGTTTAGGTCACGTCGATTTTTTTAAACGGAACACCCTATTTTTCATTCCAGAATCTAATAGCCAAAGTCGAGAGCTTTCCAAAAACATTATATATAAAGTTATTTTTCATCGAGTACTTTTCGAGTTATAAGGCTCGAAAATTTCAGTACCGCAGGCATTAGCATTATACAAGGTATCCGACCGACGGTTAAAACTTCTTGAATATTATTCAGAATCATGTCCTGGATAACGTTTGTCAAAATTAAATTGGAGGTTGTACCTCCTATTTTCATTTTTACGCAAAAATGAATTTTCAGTGCAAAAATGCAAATAAGAGGAATAGTCTCCAATGGCCTAAGGTCAAACTGATAGAATCAGTAAATAGATTTTGTTAAACCCTACAACTTTTGTCTAAAACATTTTTCTCAAAAATGTATACTTTCCGAAATATTCAGCCGACCCGAAACTTTTGGCGGACACTATATACATTTAATATATACATTTAAAGTATTTAAACATATTGCATCATAAATTTTATAATTATTTTAATGTAAATGTCTTCATTTTTATAAATGTCATAAATAATCATAAAATGTTTCAAAATCTTTAAACAATTAATTTTTACACATTGTGATAATAATTATATAAATTTACCTGGGTGTGTATGTACATCAATGGGCTAATATCCCAGCAAACACCAAATATAAATACAATATAACAAGGAAGTAATAAGTAATATAACAGAGATTACACTCTATTTATATATAGTCATATAACTTTATTTTATATTTCATAACTCGGTTATATTATACATATATAGTATACAAGGTAAGTTATTTTAAGTGATACACTGAAATATCTCGAAAAATATATTAGAAACGAAAAAATGTTTCATCCTATAATAAAATTGGGATATTAAATCGATAGTCGAATTTAATGTTGCTCCTTTTCCGCGATGCGGATTGATTGTCTAGAGTTCAATCTTATCACATGCGTAACTTCGTGTCGTGAGCGGATGTCGTATCGATTTTGTTCTCTCACTACGTTCACTTCGTGAGCGCCTATCATCGCAGAGATCGTACGTTTGACGGTTATGTGTATCAAAGGTTAAGTGTAATCGATTAATAAATATTATATGCATATTTGTATATATAATATCAAAAGCTCAGTAGCGCGAGCGAAGCGCACGTCTGTTATGTCTATTAAACAAAAGTTGCTCAGTTACTGGGGGGAAAGAAAGTAGTGACTTTGGTTGACCTAGAGAAAAGATCCTTAAAGTCAAGTCAAGGTTAACTAAAATTTTTTAGACGGAAATTCTGATATTTTATTTCATGCTTATAGTCAAGGCCTTTTCAAAACATTATAATAAAATATTTTTTCATTGAATACTTTATAAGTTATGGGGCTTGAAAGTTAACAGGTCAACCAACGTCACCACTTTCTTCCCCTCTAGTAACGAAGCAACTTTTGTTTGAAACATTTTTCTGTACCTTTTATATTTTACGAAATATTTCAGCGTATCATTTAAAATGACTCATCCTGTATACTACATGTATAATATAACTGAGAGAAACTATTATACTGTTTCGATATTTATATATTTATAATAAACAAACAATAATATAATTGCATTTGTTATAGATATTATATAACAATTGTTGATGCTCTGTAATTTGAATTATAGAGCTCTAATCTCGCGGCGTGACGAAGCTTTATGCTAGTCAAACTGTCGAGCCAAGGTCGTCCAATTCCCCTCTTGAGAAATGTTGACAGTATATGTGGCGCCTCTATAGACTGGAAACCTAGAAATGGAACTACGATGTCTGAGTCGATAACAATAAGTGATTCTAATCTTAGCTAAATTATTTCTCAATTTTCATACCATATTCATTGAAATTATAAATTTATAATTTATTTTTGAACAATAAAGGGATAAGTAACAAATTCATGTTTGATACAATCAATTCACTGATTTATTTTGTGTATTTTTACATACGTTTTCTATGTTGTACATCTTTATTTTTTATGTAAGACATTGTATGTTGTGTGATGTGTGTATATGTTAAAAAAAAATATTAAATATTAAAGTTTTGTTGAAAATTGATCGTTTCTGGTTCGCAGACTGCTGCAATGAATTCACCTTGCCTAGCGGAATGCTACAAGTTTTCCAGCAATGCAAACTATATAAAACATGATGAATGCAACAGAACGCAATCAATAGCACAATCAATCACAACTGGCCACGATGACCAAATATGACCAAACTCAATCAAACTTTACGCAATACAATGTCCTTCCAACGTAATCGTGCGATAACTGTTTTGGTTTCAAGCTGATGCCATTTTGAATTTTTGACTATGTTCCGTTTTCTGAGTTATCAGTCTAAAGAAGCGCTACAACTCCCCTGTGTTTTTCAATGGAAGTTGAATGACCCTGTGTCGAGCACGACAATTGTAGCTTTATAGCAATCCTTTTTGCAAACATTTCTGGATACTCCATTCGTGTATAAGCAAACAACTAACAAACATCTTGTTCACTTCATGCCATTTTTCCAATTAAGTCACGCGGGGTCTATTCGAGACCACGCCATCTTTCACACATACCTATTAGCTAACTTTGTGCCAAATATGAATATTCAATGTACATTTGAAAAAATATTATGAGCATTTCTCTGTGTACGAATTCCTTCGAATACATGCTTTGTAAAAAGTTATTCTAATGTGTTATATTAAAACGATTGAATTTTTCCAAGAAACTAGAAACATATGAAACTGTAAGCCATGAAGTCTAGTCAGTACCATTTTTATTCATTTGACTGATCTATTACTAAAAAGACTCCACCATTTATTTATATTATCAAAATTAAAGGACTATGTTCAGTTTGGGCCCTGGCTGCACAGCATTGAGACATAGCTAGGATTGCAGGACATTAAAAAAAGATTAAAAGGTTTCATATGCACAACTTTGTAAAACGAATCCCTTGAGTGCTACAGCTGTTCAAAGTTCGCTACTATGACCATGTATTATACTATGTATCACTGGTTTAATTCGATTTTTTGAGTCATTATTTTTATTGTTGTAATTACTTTATACAAGCCTGAAATAAGTATAAGCAAATGCGAACTAATCGTATTGCGAACTAATTCGATTTCTCGCGAAGAACCTGACGCGCGCCGACTAATCAGAATCTTGGGGAAGAGAACCAGAACGAAAGACCTGAGAAATAAACCAGTTAATAACTCTGAAACTTTATTAAATAATAAGAAATTGATTCGATCTTTCGAATCTGCATAAATTTAATTACTTCTGTGCCAAATTTCAACTTAATCCGATATTTCTATAGGAAATTCAATGCCTAAATTTAGCAATGTGTTGCCAATTCCTGGAAAACCGAGCTCCCCTTTCCTCCCGGACCGTGAGCGTCACCAATCCTATATAAACGCAACGAAAATCGCTACCTGCGTCATTTTTTATTCAATTAGAATCCCTGCTTGGAATAGGACACCTCGTTGCAGGATTAAAAGATCGGAGTATCTCAAGAAATAAGAATCTTTGAAAAAGTATATATGGTTTCGTTTTCTTTCACCATTTCTTTTCCCCCTGTACCCTAATGGGGTGACCGCGCTCGAAAGAGTTGCTCGAAGGAGCTGCTCGGTCTTTCTCCTTTTCTCTAATGGGCTGACCGCGCTCGAAAGAGTTGCTCAGTCTTTCTCCTTCCCTCCAAATGGGCTGACCGCGCTTGAAAGAGCTGCTGTCTTTCTCCTTCCCTCCAAAAGAGCTGATCACACTCGAAAGAGCTGCTCAGTCTTTCTCCTTTTCTGTCCCCATTAATAAATCCACATCGGTTACTCGTCAAAATTCGCTAATGACCGCGTCAATAAGTTAAATCTTATTTTAGTAGAATGACTAAAAGGAGAAACCGCGCAGGTAGGCAGGTGCAATTAGCCAGGCTTTATTAAGAATTTAATTTCTTCCGGGGAGTTCGACCCTTCTGTCTTCCCTCGGAATCTTCAGGACCCGTCAGGGCATCTCTCGCTCCCGCACGAGTATAAGCCCGTCGACAAGGAACCGCACGCGCCCCCCACGGAATCGAGAGTACAGCAGTCTCTACCTCCGGAGCAGCGTAGCATGAGGGCCGATATCTATGCCCCAGAGGCCCACCAGCCAACCGCGACGACCCCCTCGGATCATATCGGATACTCCGGACGATTGAACCATAACTCGCGTTCCGGCAGGATACACTGTTAAAAATTTCATAAAATTTAATATACTTTTAATTTACACAATTTAAACTTAATTTCATGACATTACATTAAATTTCATAAATTTAATGTACACGTTCATTACATTTAAATAATTACTGTAACTTAATTTTCAGTTAAATCATTCATTTAATTTCATAATCATACTTTTAATTTCGTTCATAACCACGAGCTTCATTTACATGTAAAGGAAGCTCGTGGTCACGTTTCTAACAATGTACAGGGTGCTTCCGCAACATACACATCAGTAAGTCGGGTTGCCTATCAGTCTATGGACAGGGGCATGCTTTACTGATAATGCGGAATAAGATTAGATCGTAAGTTCGGCGGAGAATGAGATAAGAGAAATTTAATTTTACATTCTGTCATAGTGTAAAATTCAATAATATTGTATAAAATATGTATTTAATAATACACATAATATCTAACTTAATCTAACATAAATGAAATTTAATAAATATTTAAAAACATATAATTATAAATTTATAATTTATAATTATGTGTATGTTTATAATTACATGTAATTATATATAACGCTGCTGCAAAATGATTCTTTTTTAAGCGATGTTAACCATAATTTGTGCACGACACCAAGGCCACCTTCACTTTTATTGTCCGAAGAAAATTCTACGCTAATGAAAGCCATTAGTGGGTTCATTACATATAATTGGAGACCAATCTATTAAAATAATAATCACTGAATTTATATTTTATTCGTTCTTTTTTAATCAAATTTCCATTAACCGCGGCCGGTAGACAAGAATGGCGCCATTACTTACATGAAATCAGAACCGAAGATATAAAAACACAATAGTTCAAACAACACACTCTACAATACGTTTACGCACTAAATCGAAATTGAATCGGCTGTCGCGTGCAAGCGTGTCTGAAGTTAGAATGCTGAGTAGAAAGGCGTCACGATAATAACGTTGTATGGGAAAACATATAATATATGGCCATTATAACCGACTTATGGCTCCTGCGTACTGGACGCAGAAGCGACTGCCGCGCAGCAAAATGTGACCAATCAGGCGCATGCCGGATCTACCATATTATTGCGGATGTTTAAAATATATTAATTATTAAAATGAATTTTATTATATTAGTGTACAATTTTTCAAGTTGTTAACCATTTATTTAGTTATAATTGCAAATGTTCAATTAAAATAGATAATAATAATTAAAAATAAACTGTAAATTTTTTTTTAGATTACTCAAATTTTTTTAAAAATGTTATTGAAATTAACATATGTATGTTTATGTGTATATACACAACTTCAATAATAAAAATTATTTAGTATTTAATAATAATGATAATAATTAGTGAAATTGAAATTACTACAATAAATTGCAATCATTATTTAATTATTATGTACAACATCTATAATTGCGAAAAAATTTATTACATGATAAGTAAACAATTTATTAATTAGACAGGTACCTACTTACCTACAAAAAGTATTTGTATACTTAAACATTATATTGTTTTTAAAAAAATAATAAATATAAGAGGTTTCTGACACATTAAAATTATTGATAGAACGTCATTTTTAGATGTTACTATACATATATTGAAGTCATATAATAATAAATTTATAATAATGGTCAGGGTTGGGTAATGCTAAATTAAAAAGATAAAAGTTAAGTTAAAAAGTTCAAAAGTTAATTAATATTTTAACTTAACTTAGTTACATTTTAGACTCTTAATTTTTTAATTCAATTTAGTTACATTTTATCGATAACTATTAACTTTTAATTTGTTTTTTTTAAAGTTAGTCCTCAGACACAATGCGAGAGGATAATGAGTATATAATTTAGTAACTTTATATTGTATAATCGTTACTTGTGAACAAAAATAATCAGATTTTTTAATAAATATGCTGTTAGAAAGGAAAAATATGAAAAATTATGTAAAATGGTCAAATTTTTCCCCCTTTTTTTTTGGTCGTCTGTTCAGATCAAATTTAACTTTTAACTTTTCAATTATTTTTTTATTAACTTAATTTTTAATTCAATTAATTTCATTATGGATTAACTTGTATATATTTTAATAAAGTTAAATTTTCAAGGTTGTTAACTTTAACTTAACTTAGTTAAAAAAAAAAAAGTTAACTTACCCAACCCTGATAGTGGTCATATATATGACGTCAATGTAACATCTAGTTGACATATCATATCGGCGATGTCAACTTTTGGTACTATAAATGACATCAAAATAACGTACCATTCATGTTACTTGACGTCATTGTCATCAAAATCACTTCATAATCACGTCATTATCACGTGAGCTAGCTGGGGAGCACTCACGTTTCCAGCTGTTTCCAGCTGTGCGCCGTTTCCAGTCGCTCGATTTGTTCGTGAATGCTCACATGTTGTGTGTGAGCATTTAGACAGAACGCAATCTGAAATATAATTGCGTTCTAAGTCACACTGTCAGTACTAAAAATCTGTAATATATAATGTAAAATACAGATTTTACTGACAGTATATACGGTCGTAGTAGCACTTTTCGTTATGATCTAATGCCATTTTAGGTTAAATAATGTGTCATAAATTCATGAATACATATATTGCACATACATGTGTAACTACTTCACCTCTTTTTGCTAAAGAAATAAGTTTTGTATGCTGAAATATATAGATATTAGTGACACGTATACTTATACAGGGTGTCTGGCGAAAACCGCAAAATATTTCATGCGTGGGTAGAACAAACTACACTGAGTCGGAAAGTTCTGTACCATTTTGCAGTGTCAGCAATAGTTAAGGCGATATTAACGTTTAAAGATAAGGGAATAAGAGCGTCTGGCCGATCTGTTCTAAACGCCTCTCCAACGCTCTGCCGGCGCATCCATCATTCAACAAACTGGGCCGGGCTATACCTCGAGCGGTCTATCGGAGCATATCTATCGGCGCGCGCTCTCATTGATACAATTGCGAACATTAACATCTTGATTATTATTATGAATATCGTTAAACGGTAAAGGACTTTTATGTTTATTTCGATTCCATCTACCTTCCTGTGGGCAGTAGGAGAAATCTCGCCGGACACCCTGTATATATATATATATTATATGCATATATATATATATATATAATTTAATTGTAATATTGCATATATCAGTAATACATCTACATGCAATATCAGAATTAAATTATTTGTATATATATATATATATATATATATACACACAACCATTATAAACTGCGTTTGGAAACATCACTCGGGTGCCCCCGTGTATCGTTTTATCCTTATTTAATATTAGGTTAATAACAAGGATGAAACGACACGCAGAAACACTCGGGTCATGTTTCCGAACGCAGCCATACAGGATGGCCCATGTTACAAGCTATTAGGTGTACAAGTATGGCTTTAGGGATTTTTTTTAATAGATGGCGGTATAGTCATACTGCTGCATTATTTAAAGTTGGCAATACATGTACTTGAAAGGTGTATACGCAGCTTTAAAACGTAATACATTTTATTTGATTAAAGTATAAACAACTATTATTTTTATCGCATTGAAAATGTTAAATTTTGTACCGGAAAAACACCATTTACGGGAAGTTTTACTTCATTATTTTTTTCTAAAGAAAAGCGTAGCTGAAAGTCATCGTTTACTTGTGGAAGCTTACAAAGAACATGCTCTATCGATAAGCATATGTGAAAAATGATTTAAATGATTCAGAAATAATGATTTTGAGTTGGACTGTTTTACACAAAACGTTATTTCCACGAAAGAAACGTTATTTTACGAAACGTTTCTTTTATGACCTTCCAAATAGCACATTTTAAGCGAAAATGCAACGTTTCTGACACGTTTCGTGGAATAACGCAAATAAAATGTTACTTTTAAATGTTTATAGGACCTTTTATGAATCTATACATATAAAACGTCACAAATTTGCTAAGTACAGCCAAAATGTAACGTTCCCTAGGAGTTTCATGTTTAGCGAATATAATCTTATATTATACAATCTGTATTATTGTCAATACCTCAATTTTATGTTTATATACTATAAGCTAACCTGTTTATATACTAAACCTGCTATTAAGATTTATGCGTCCATTTTTGCTACACTGATGTATTCACTGCTTCACCATCGCGCATGCACTAAAAACTCGTCTCGTCTAACAACATTGTTCTGGGGGGGGGGGGGGGGAGGGGACGGAATGGACCTCGCTTGGCGTGGAAAGCTGAATGTTCCTATGCAGGAGAGGGTATGGGGTGAACCTCACTTCGCGTGGAAAGTCATACTTCCCTAGTCAGTTCACCCCATACCTCCCCCCTAGAATCATTCGACTTTCTATGCAAAGCGGGAAAATAATTACGAATTATGATTGTTAATAATTTCTTAATAAATAACGAGCGTCGGCTGAAACCTGTTGGAGGTCACTCGGGGTCATGACCTTCACAAATATCAAGGTCGAGGTCATCGAAAAAGGTTTCCCCTAAAGTGAACATTTACTAAAAATTCAAATGAGGATGCGCAATAAATATCATATAGAAGATAAGAATGTTAAAAATCAATCGCGCTTGTAACCTTCAAACAGTTCATATTGTAAATTATGTCACATTCTCCTTGTTTAAAGTATTAAAGATATTAAACTATTTCTTTTTTCATTTAATGTTTTTCAAATAAAGATAAAAACTTATAGTAGTTTGTGGAGAATCTTACCTATTAGCAGACGCTTCTGGATGATAGTTGTCCTGTAGCAAGGTCTCATCGATTGCCGCATTAGAATTCTGTAACATGAAATGTCCGTCCACTTGATCGTCCACGGATGGCATGGTTATTGCCATCTTGGCTAGCGTTCTTGTGATACCATCTCCAGGTATGATCAAAGGATGCTTCCTTTGATGTCGTGGTAAACTAGACTTGGGCTGAAGTGTCTTAGAGCGGTCTCTAGGCGGCAGAGGTATTGGATTCTCGTCGATGTTATTCTGATTCTGATTGTTCTCTATTTCCATAGAGTGATGTCTTTCAAGAATGCGTGATTGAGGCAGAGATAAAATTGTATGAGGCGATGGAGGTGCTCGAACTTTGGGCAAAGTCATCGCGCCGCTATGATGCATCTCGAAAGGGAAGCCATGCTCACCAGATACGTCTTCTGACTGCGATAACACTGGGTAGCCCAGAGTGGCATGTTTGTTCCCACGAATTCTAGGCCTTACTATAGATAATCCGGAACGTAACATGCGCAATGGGTTCGTATCCCCGGTACTTTCCAATGTTGGCGTCTCCACCAAACTGTTGTACACTTCCTTAGCTTCTTCCGATAGGGTGGCCTGAACATGTTGTGGGAAGGGATAGATACGAGGATAGAAGAAACAGAAATTAAACAAAAATAAGAAAACAGAAATTATAGGTATGAAATTATAAACTTTGGCTCTTTCTTTTACAATTGTATTTGTATTCTTATGTCTTTCTATTTCCTTCTCCCCTCTCATTGTGCACATAAATGTGCGTGTGGATGCGCATACACACGCATGTTATCTTTGATACTGTATACCAGAATTTAATAATTATCTTGAACAACTACTAACAAATCAACAGCAATATCTGACTAAATACTAGTTGCCGTACTCCGTGCAATGAAAAATTTCACGTCTTTTCACATTAATGAATATAATTTATTTCAGAATTCTCAAACTTTTTCATTATTAGCTACACGTTTAAAATTTAATTTCGTATAAAAAGAATTACTTTTCGGGGAAAAAAAACATGTTCGACAATTAAAAATTTATTATATTATTTTCAAATTTTAAAAACATTAAAAATACAATAAAATTGTTTGAAAGTAATAAAAAATAAAACAAATATATAGACACACGTATGCACGCACGCACGTACGCACACATATATACGGGATGAGTTTGATAAAAAAATCCATCATGTTTTTGTCGAAAAAGGTTAGAAATAGGGGGAAGACACCTATTATCAAAGTTGTAGATTAAGCAGCGGGACATACTTTCAATAACCTTAAATGTCCTTGATTTTCATACTACCAATAAAATTTTTTTTTTAATGTAAAGGATATTTTTTACTCGTTCGATCGATGGTGCTCAATCAGTTGAATAATTATGCATTAGTGTTTTTTCGAAAATTCAACTATTGTCAGCATATAAACCAAAATAAGTTAGCCATGTTGATCTGAACATGCCTATGGTCTTCGTGGAAAATTTTTTGGACTTCTTCCAACTCTTGAATCGTTATATTTCGTGAAAAATATTTTTTATTCTTTCTTTCATGTTTTCCGAAGTAGTAGAACGTTGAAAGTAAGCTAACATCTTCACCCTTCCTCAAAGATAATAGTCCAAATATGCTAAATCGAGTGATCTCGCAGAGAATAACACAGAATTACCTATACTAATCCATTTGTTTGGGAATATTCTGTTGAGCTCTCGCCTCGTATTTATACCGAAGTTGGGTGGTGCACCATTTAACTGAAGCCACATTCAAGCTCTATCAGCGGAATATCTTCCACTAAATTTGGAAAATAATTTCTAAGAAAACGAACAAACTGTCGGTTGTTAGAGATTCCTAAAAAAAGAATGGTCCAATTAATCGAACGCCAATAATTCCCAAATATTAAATACTCCAGGGTGTTGACGGTCCACAGTCTCATCCAGTGTGTGGGTGGACTTCGCTCCAATAATGCAATTAGTACCTGTTAATGGTCCCATTATTCTTAAATGTTGCTTCATCTGACCATAACAGAAATCGAAAAAAGTTAGGATCTTCTTGTAATTTATTTTGAGCCCTTGTACAGAACTGGAGTCTCACGTTAAAATCATTCTGCGAGAGTTCTTAAAGTACCGATATACGATATGGATGGAACTTATTTTTCCTGAGTATACGTGACACTGAAGATTGGCTAATATTTCTATCGCGGGCAATATCTCTTGTAGAAACATGGATTTGCAATAACTGCAGGCAATACGTCAATAGACACGTTTTCATTTGTAACATTTTACTTTTGTTGTCTAAGTCTTAATAATTCCAGGAGTACGCACTTGATTCGCCAAACGTGTAAAATTCCTCTTACGAAATGACGACGGTTTGGAAAGCGTGCAGCATACAAATCAATAGCTTGCGTAGCATTTTGTCTACATTCACCATAAATCATTAACATATCAAAAACTTCTTTATTAGAATATAATATTTTTAAGAAACTACTCGCAGAGTGATCTGTGTACCTGTCAATTCCAACTCAAACCTGAATAATAGAACGTGCTAATTTTTGAATAACTATAAGGCAAGAACTCAATGTTTCCAAACAAATGGATCGGTAGATGTGGTCCTGTATTATTCTTTCACGATTCAAAAGTTAGAAGCTTTTCAAGAAGACTATAGGCATGTCTCAATCAACATGGTGAATATTTTAAACAGTCTGACTTATTTTGACTTATATAATGTTGAATTTTTGAAAAGATACTCTAATTCAAAGTTATTCAGCTCATCGAGTTCCATCGATGAATGAGTAAAAAAGACCCCTTCTTTTTAAGAAAAAAATATTTTTATTGGTAATATGAAAACAAAGGACATTTAAGGTTACTCAAGATTATCAAAGTATGTCCCCCTACTTATCCTACAATTTTGATAATATATGTCTTTCCCCTATCTCCGTTTTCAAAAGAAAATGTGGTGAACTTTTTATCATACTCACTTTGTATATATGTTAGACTCAAAGACAGAAAACGCTTACAGAGCGAAAAAACCGACCACAACACGTTATGATTTTTGAGATTCAGCCACAATGCGAAATTCGTGTCATGGCCCTTTCAAGAATACTCACAACGCCGTTCTGACATATTCAAAAAGACCACAAAGCGAAATTCGTGTTGTGGTTCTCTTGACAATCAACCAATATGCGTTCTGGCTAAGTTAAAATGTCACAACGTTCTGATCGTTTATTCTCTCTCTGTTCCAAGTAAATTACAATTTATGATTAAAAAACAAAAAATCTTTTCTTCCTCGTAAAAAATTTTAATCACTGAATTTTATCAATAGAACATATAAGCCAGGATTCATAGCTCGTTCTTATTTTAAGACGTGAGAAGAAAGATACACACAACTAGTGAAAACAAGTGCTCAAATTTTGTGTCCTTTTCCACAACACACAATTTTGCTCATTTCAATAACATAACAGCTATTTGAATTATATGCTAATGATTCATTCTCGAAAATATTAAATAATATTATTAATCGGCATTTAATATATGTGTGATTGCATCTCCAGAAAAAGAAACTAAGCAGAGATAGGTCCAGAAAACGAACCATTTATTTATACTTATAATATAATTTTCAAAAATAATCAAAAGATAATAATTTTGAACTAGTTGTGAAATATAACTGAACAATCTCCTATCAAAACATTATATAAAGATAGAGTTGTGTAGTAACTATATAATAAGTTAAAAATTAAATAAGAAGTTAAAAAATTGATAAATTTTACCCTAATTTAGTTAATCTCTTAAATAAACTAATTTTTAACTTAATTTTTAGTTAATTCTTAAACAATAATTTATTAACCTTTTTCTTTTTAAGTTAATGATTTTCAACATAAATATGGTAGAGAGTGCCAAAGATCGGTCAAAGTTAGATGTTTCAAATAATATAATATTCTTGGATTCATGAATTTAATGTATCTCAGATGTAACTGTGCGCTGAAATGTTCGGACATTTAAACACAGTCAATCTGAGATGCTAATAATCACGAGCCGAAACATTTGAATCATTCGCATATATACAGGGTGTCCCAATAACTATTACCACCTGAAATACTTTCTAATCTATAAGGTGTAGAGAAAAATTTGTACAACCAAAATTGCACGGTATAAAGGGGGCTATTACATGGCGATAATAATTTTTTCCCAAGTGGAGGCACTTAGAAGATTTGAAGGTCAACGTCATTTTTTTAAATGGAATTATATAAATTTTTTTACATAATATAATTCCCCTAATTATTCTTCATATAAAAGTATTAAGATAATAGTACTGAAAAATCAATAGTTTACGAGATAGTTATCTTATTCTGGCACATATTGACATAAAATATTAAAAACAACTCGTAAACTAATATTTTTTTGATAATCATACCTTAATACTTTTATGAACAGAATAATGAGATGAATCAATTGGTGTAAAGAAAATACATAGTTGCTTATTTAAAAAATTATCCATTTTGCAGTCATATCTTTTTAAAGCAACTATGTGCTTTCTTTACACTAATTGATTCATCTCATTATTCTTTTATGCTCCTTTATCGATTTTGATTTGTACGGAAACCGTTATTTAAAGGTTAGTATCAAATATAGTGATATGCATTAAAACTTTCTTTTCATTTATGTATTTGAGACGCATTTATTTCTGATTTTAAATAACCTGTTCCTACATGCATCAAAACTTTCAGATATTAATAAATATCAGATAAACAAAGAGAAATGTACTGACAATGAGAGTCAAGCGCGGTAATTGGAGAGCAATCTCATCCTAATATTGCTTTATTTAATGCAAACATGCAAAGAATGTGATGCGTCCTCCGTAGGACAAACTAGCAGAAAATTGAATACTATTGTATTATACAGGGCGTCCCGAATTTAAATGTCTAAACTTCGAGAGCGTGTAGAGAATTGATAAACTAAGAAAAAAAATCCTATATAGATATGCTCGTTTTTGCTTCATTTTGGAGAAAATCGCAAAAAAGATAAAACGTAGTTGTTTCGTTCCTGCACTGCCTCTGAAATATTATCGTCGCTGAAATCGTGCACGAAAACAATAATAATAATTCCGTTTTCAGGTGAAAACTTTTTTTGTTTGTTTACATTTTTCCTATAAATTCGTCAGTTACTCGTCAAAAGCTATCGAGTGAATTACTTCTGTCACAATATGCCGCGTACATATTCTAACGTTGAATATGCTGACATGGTTTTCGTGTATAGTTTCTGCGACGGTAATGCTACGGAGGCGATGCGAGAGTATATACGCCGATTTCCAAACAGAAAAATGCCGAATCGGCGAGTCATTACAATGACTCTTTTAATGAGTTGTGTTTAATGAACTTTTAATAAGTTGTGAGAGAGCGGATCATTTTCAATTCATCAAGATCCGTTAGGAGCAAATATGCAAGTAGAAAATCGTGTCTCGAACCACTTTGATAACAATCCTGAGATCAGCGTCCGGAGAACGTCAGCTGCATTACAATTGCCACGTCAAAGAATCTACCGAACTTTAAGAAATGATAACCGCCATCCGTACCATATTCAAAAAGTGCAGAATTTATTACCTCAGGATTATTTCAAGAGGTTGAATTTTAGCAATTAGTTTCTTGAGCAATTTAACAATAATAATTCATTCCATCAAAAATAATCTGGACGGACGAAGCTACATTTACAAGAGAAGGAATTATTAATCAAAGAAATTATCATGTATAGGCTCATGAAAATCCTAGGATTATTAGAGAAAATAGGTTCTAGCATGAATTTGCGGTTAATGTCTGGCTCGGAATTTGGAACGACTCTCTAGTAGGACTATTTTTTTTACCCGACAGATTAAATGCAGCCAAATATACTGAGTTTTTGGAGACTGATTTCTTTGATTATTTAGAAGACATTCACTTGCAGCAACAGATTGAAATGTGGTTTCAACTCGATGGATGTCCAGCTCATTATAGCAGAACTACTCGAGCTTGGCTAAACAGACATTATCCACGACGATGGATTGAACGTAAAGGAATAGTACCTTGGCCACCCCGATCACCTGATATGATACCACTGGACTTCTTTGTGTGGGAGATCCTGAAGCAGGAAGTTTATTCGTTGTCAGTCAACTCAAGAGAACAATTGAGAAATCGAATCGCGGCTGCAGTGCACCAAATCAGTGTTTGGCTGCAACACGAGCTATTCGTACTGGATGCAATGCTTGCATTGTTGCAAGAGACCAACATTTTGAACAATATCTACATTAAACAAGTGAATAAATGCAACGTGAATAAGTAATGAGAAAGTACAAAAATGAGAACTACGTTTTGTCCTTTTTTTGCAATTTTTTCCAAAACGAAGCAAAAACGAGCATATTTCTACAGGACTTTTTTCTTAGTTTATCGATTTTCTATACGCTCCCGAAGTTTAAACATTTAAATTCGGGACACTCTGTATATTACCTTATTAATTGAAATCTTTCGATTTATTAAAAACTGATGAGTCCTATATGACCTCGAAAAATTGTTTTTTCGAAAATAGACGCATTGAAATTCATCGGCAAGACTGTCAGTTTATGGTTTTTTTTTACACCAATCGATTCATCTCCTTCTGTGCATAGAAGTATTAAATTTCGATTATAAATCATTGCATCAAACTCTTAATTGCAGACTGCAGAATATATTGTAAGACTTTTTTCTCATGTAATTTCTTTAATACATTTTCAGACGAGCAACATGAATAGTACGAGTGGTTGGAGTTCAAAGGAGATGACTTAGGATAAGAGGCCTAGAACAGTAAAAAAATTTATATAGAATCACCGACTAGATACTATTAAAGACCGATATTCTCTAAAACGAAAGTTCGCGTTTTTGTTAATATTGAAGTGATTAAGAGTAAAAAACTGATAATATTGTACTAATTTTATGATTTATTAGTTTTTTTAGACGTGTTTATTGGTGTATATGCATTTAAAACTCAATAATACACTCGATTTTTCTTTAAAATTGTGACTCATCATATATTCCGAGCAGATGCAATCGATTGAGCACTTAGAATTTGATCAGTCCTTATTGAAATCCAATAATCTCAATCCTTCACAACTCGCCGGCTCGCGTAACAGAACACGGTAATATTGCTGTATTTGTCTTAGCACCGAAACACTACCGTGTCTCCTGATTTTAAAATCGGACATCTACTTTTTTTTATAAAAATTACTAAAAACTGTAACAACTGGTCCCGGTCTCCCCTATCTATATCTAGACATAAAATATAGTATCTGAGCTACCTTTCAGATACACTGCTAGATAGATTTTCAGATGCATTTTCATGTGCTTCTTTCCTTTTTAGTATAAAAAAGCATGTTCCTTTTGAAGATTATTTTTTATTTGACTATTACTGTCGTTAGTGACACCATATAGATTTCTATGTACATATATAAGTTGTGTCCGGGCCGTTCGGAGAACACGCTGTCAGTAGTATTCGTTAGTTCGTCAGTAGTATAGTATGCGTTATTGGCTGCGTTTAGCAGATAAAGCAACCTTACAACTATTGTAAAATTCACTATGATTGGTCACATTTAGATTTATAAGGAACCATACGCAAGAACTAATCATGTTAAAGAATTTTACAGCTGCACAGCTTTCTCTGATGAACGTAACCATTAACATTATGTATATTTTGTGCGTATTATAATAAAAATGATTTTAAAGTATCCGAGTACCTGTATCTATATATATATATATATTTGTGTATCTGTATCTAGATAGATTTTTCACGTTTATTTATATCTGTATGTGTGTATAGAAATACATTTTAAGATCTTATCCATCACTGCTCACAACTATTTACTGATTGTCAAGGGCAGGAAAGTAGGAACAGCATCTGTTGATTTTTACAAGTGTTTTAAAGTAATCTCATTATTTTATCCAAATTCTGTTTATTTAGAAATGGTAAAAAACTTCAATGTGTCATATCTTGCTTGTGATGTTACAATTTCAATATGGTCACGACTAATCAGGAGCCTTCAATAAAATCAATCTAATTATTTAATCACCGCGGGCCTAAGTATATGTAATATACTAATACAGGATGTTTGGTAATTAACGATAAAACTCTTGGATAAGAGTTGAGAATGGATTAAACAAGAAGAAAAGTCCTCATTTTGCATTTTTTGCATTAGTTAACAAGTTATTGGGTGCGTCCGAGTTACGCATGAAACGCATGATGCATCGTTTGTCCTTATTGTTCACCAAATAATAAAGAAGAAGATAAAACGATACATTATGCGGAATGCACCCAAAAATTTATGAAAATAGCCAAATTTGCCTGGCCTACAGCCAAATGCAAGCGTGCAACGAGATAAGACCGCCCAGCAAGTTCGCCGTCACTAGGTACGTTAATGCTAATGTCACTTCTAAACATGCCTAGCGACGAAGAACGTGTGTCTTTCTGGGCGGTCTTATCGTGCGGCACGCTTGCATTTGGCGGTAGGTTGGACGAATTTGAAAATTTTCATAAATTAATAACTCGTCAACTAATGCGAAAAATACAAAATGGTAGAAGACTTTTCTACTCAGTTTAGTCCATTCTGCTCCAAAGCGAGAGGTTTATCGTTAATTATCAAACATTCTGTATATATTACTTAAATATATCACTTAAATGTAAAAGGTAGCATGCATTCGTAATATAACACTCACGAGATTGTTCAGATTCAATATACAGAAAAGATTCATACATCTAGATTCAGGTTTGAAACTAAATTTCAGGATTAAAACTAAATTTGCCTTTAAAACTTTAAGGAGCAGGAGAAGGAGGAAATGTCAACATGTCGCTTGTGAATTCGGGATACTCGGAGCTTGTGTCTGAATCAAAATCAGAATTACTAGTAAATGTCAAGCTAGAGCTCGGTGCACTTTCCGGCCAAGAAAGCAAATTATTCTTGGAAGAGAACGGTGGCGATAATGAGTTCAAGAAACTCGTCGACGGCGGCGGTGACTTTCCGCAAAGCTCAACCGCAGACAATCCTTTGGCGGAGTCAGGATGTAAAAATGAGATTCTATTTTTGAAGTTCAAGCGCAAACTATGTGGAACTTTCTTGTGCCAGCGTTTATAACGCAAACGGCTCCTGATATCTGTCTCTGAATGCGAAATCGAGTCCGAGTCCTCACTGGAATCATTTCTAGGATGAAAAGATCTACGTATATTTTTTATTGAAGGTTTTCTACTCTCCGACAAGGATGATGTCCTATATCGGTAAACGGTGGCATCAGAAAATTTCTCTGCGAGCATATCCAATTTCGGTAACTCCTTTCTAGCGGGATCGTTCTGATATAATTTTGGCGGTTCCAAAATGTGTTGGTCTAAAGTTGGACTTGTTGGCGAGTTTGATTTTTTTATCAAGTTCAATTTTGTGTTAATCGATGATTGATTTTGTAATGGAATATTCAAGTCCAAATTCTTAGGTTTTTGAATCGGTATATTTAAGCTTCGCAGAGGTGTTTGAGATGGCGCAGATAAATCCAGATTCCTTATGTTGAAGACTTTTGGCAAAGCTGTTTCTAAATTTTTCGAATTTTGCACGATATTCTTGCCTAATTGTACCATGTTCTGTGTCAACTTACTTAAACCCAAGTTTAAACTGTGAGCTTTTTTAGAATCTAAGTAATTTTTTACATTTTCCAAACCAGAAATTTCACGTTGATATTTTTCAGCTAAGATCTTACTATTAAGTTCTACCTGACTGGCTTCGGCATCAGATTTCCGCCTGAGACGTTGAAAATTTGCTCGCAAACTTTCGGAACTGCTATATATGGGAGATTCTTTCTTCTCTATTTCAGTAATAAATATAGGATTATTGGATATTACATACGGAAAGCCCTCATGACTGTTCTGATTTTGTTCAAACTTGCGAAAACTTTGTATATTTATTTTTATTGTATCTGTATTACTCCTTGGACTATCCGAGCCACTTGTCTTCGTGTTAGTCTTAATATTATCCGATGAACCACAGATGGTGTTCATGTCTTGACTGGATTTTCTGGGCATAAAAGACATTTTAGCGGCTCTAGATTTCGACAGGTTAATTTTCTTGGTAAAATTTGTGATGTTTATTTTTGTGGAGTCAGTAAAGGTAACAGGAATTTTCGGTCGTGTACCAAGATCTAAGTTAGTCGTCTTGTCCCTTGCTACATCAAACTTGTCCGGTTTATTACAAGGAGATTCAAAATTTGCCATTTTTTCTTTCAAAATATCAACATTTTCATCCGACTGTGCTTCGAAATTCATGACATTACAATCGTTCAATCCACAGTTATTTAATTTATTTTGTAATGCTTGATTAGATTTAACACTGACCGACAAATTCTGTTCTTGAATGTTCGAAGAATAAGTGAGTTTATTAGGCTGTTCCAAATTATTAATTTTAACATATTTGTCCAATTTTTCTTTCCTGAAATATATCTTCTCGCTGTTTGCGCTGGTGCATTCTAGAGTAGTTTCATCATCACAGTATTTCAGCTGTTCAAAATAACGTTCAACGTAACTGGTAGATACTCTCTTCATCTCGCGTGAAAAATCGTAGTTCAAATCTTCTATATTGAATTTTTTATCGTTCTGGTGATGGACATTTAATTTGGTGTCCACATCAGAAACTCCTTCGCATTTGAAGTGATCCGTTCTATTTCCGTTCTCCCAAAATTTAGTTGATTTTATTAAATTCTGCTTCATTGCAACATTATCTAACATATGCTCATTCAAGTCAATATCCATGTACGAAGCCCAGGCACTCGGCTTTGTTAATAGCTCTCGCGATTTCGCGAAACAAAATTCTGCAGATGCCTTGTCCCACAGAGGAAGTTTTAAGGTTGATGGAGCACCAAGGGATTCTGTACTAGATACCGTTGATGAAAGGGATTGCAGGCTTGAGCATAACCACTTTATGCAACACATGAAAGTTTGATGAGGATAGCATGCAAAAAAATGAATGAAAATCAATGGTAATTTTGATGGCAATTTTGATACATTTTAGTATAAATCAAGCATAGTACATGCAAGTGTATCACATAAAGCAAAATACATAACGTGTACATATAACATTTTACAATTGACAAAGATATTAGAGTTTGCATTTTTTATCGTCACGTTAATTAAAATTCCATTTATGATTCAATTAAAAATTTAATGTCAAATTATAAATAACAAAAGATACAAAAATAAATAATAATGAGAGGAAAGGGTCAGAGAAAAATTTATATTAGTTGATGATATGAATGAATAAATATTAGATTAAAAAGCTTAAGATATAATACCGTACAACAAAAATAATTTTTTTTCTTCGCACATAGAAAATTCAAATTGTCCGCAAAATTAAAGATAAAATGTAATACAGCCATACGTGTCGTTCTGCGATATCAAATCATTTATGTTTCTTAGGTATATTTTTATGCACAGAAGAGGTTATTTCGGTCACGGTGCAAGATGAAATTTTGCGATTGTCTGAAAATTTCATACATCCTATATATATATATATATATATGACTAATTATATATATATATATATAATTAGTCACTAAATGAGAAAATGATAAAATTAAAGCGATTGAAGCAAAGTAAAATAGTGAAAATATAAAAATTGCTTAAAATTTTCAACCTTACTATAAAAGCGGTCATAACACATTTCCCTTGAAGTTAGCTTCGTATAAACCCGCGGTCCGATTGAGTCTTAAATGCTTACGAATCATGGAAAGCTGCAATGTAGACACGGTTATTATTTTTTATAATTTTTTGGGCAAAAACAGGGTTGAAAATTATAAAGAAGTTGTAGCCGAAACAATTGTTGCATTTCGTAAAATAAGAGTCAACACGTCGTTGAAAATTGACATTTTGCACAGTCATTTGGATTTCTTTCCAGACAACTTGGGCAATTTTAGTGACGAGCACGGCGAGCGTTTCCATTAAAATATTGCTACAACAACGCTTCAAAGAAAAAGACTCTCGCCATGCTTAGCGAATACTGCTGGTCAATTTGACGCGATACACTGTACACAACAAAATTGTGTATTATTAACATAAACGCCAAAGCAAATGTTTGTTTTCTTACGAAATAATTTGTTTTTTTGTATATTTAATTAATAAATTTTTTAACTTTAAAATTTAATTTAACTTTAATAACTTTAAATTTAACTTTATTTTGTTAGAAAAATGAATAATAAATGTTGCTCCTACATGAAGTTATGCAGTATACATTTTCTTATCAATATTTATAAAGAAAATCAGAATCACAGATTCATCAGAATCATCATATAGAAAGGCTGAAAAAAGGAGAAATTTGTGTGATTTTCGACTAAAATGCATTTTCTTACTCCCCATTTTGCTCTACTCCAATCGTTTTATTTTGATCGTTTTCTCATTCAGCGATCAATTTCACATGGAAATATTTAAAAAATTATATCTTGCGCCGCACAGACTCCTCTAAACTTCAAACATGCACAAAAAACAAAATGATTTGATATTGCCAAATGAAACGCATGCTGGTACTAGATTTCATCTTTACTTTCGAGAATAATTTGATTTTTTCATGTGTAAAAAATGCTGTCGCACGGTGTAATCAATCGACCTCGAAGTATATACAGGCTGGGGCACATGAAATAAAATGTCGAAATATATCCATTGCTCTTAAATAGGGAAGTGAATATCGAATATATTCATCAATGAACCGAATATATTCATCAATGAATTGTTTCATCAATTCAACAACTATCTATAAGTCTGTTTTTATTGCTGCACTTTCTGAACTAGTACACACAGTGCAATAAGTTGAAGTGAAACAAATATACGTTTGTTTTACTTCAACTTGTTGCATCAGTTCAGAGTGCATAAAAAACGGGCCTTATATTCAACCTGAATGAATAAGTATATATCAAATATATCGAATAATGAATAGAGATGCTTGATCAAATTCGATATATACGAAATACGAATATAATGCACATTCATTCAAGGCGAATATAAATAGCTTTTGAAATGATGAAGTATACCTATTCATTACCTGCATTTCTATTCGATATTGACATCCCAACTATTGAACATAAAATATGACAATTTAAACTAACTTTATTATAACTAAATTAAAGATACGCAGTTTATGGAGGAATCTGATCACTTCTTTACTTCAAAAGATACAACTCAAGAAACGATTTTCGAGTTATCATAAATGAATTAACTTAACTTCATAAAAAATTGTCTCAAAAAGTTTTTATATAAAAAGTTATAAAACAAAAATGTCAAAACGACATTTAAGAAAAGATGGAAAACTATTTTTGACTTGACAGAAAATTATTGATTAATCAAATAATATCCATAAAAAAAATACAAAATGTTTAATAAGTAACGATAAAACTCTCTCGCATAGGGGTAGAGCGGACTAAACTGAGTCGAAAAATCCTCTATCATTTTACAATTTTCTTTTACCAACATGAAAAAATGCGATACTGAAAAATTCTGAAAAAATTCTCAGAATTCTATGCGAAGAAAATAAATAATTTTTATCACTTGCTGTTTTTCTGTAAAGTTTATATTACTTGAGTAAAAAATTATTGAAAATCAATATTCGGTGATTTTTAATAATTGATATCTTATTAACTATTGCGAAAATGATAGAGGACTTTTCGACTTAATTTAGTCCGCTCTACTCCTATGCGAGCGTCTTATCGTTATTTATCAAACACCTTGTATATTCTGAATAACGTAGAATTAAATCAGATTAATGAAAAGACTTTAAATGTATAAAAACAATTGAAAATTAATGCCTATAAAAGTGCGTCCAGACTATCAAGCCGAAACTCGAACCGAACTCTGAGCTGCAAGTATTTCAGTTACCTTTCATTATTTTTTTACCGAACTGCGTAACAAACGTTTACCAAAATGACTTCGGTTCGAGTTTCGACTCGATAGTCTGGACCTTTAGAACCATGCACTATATGTATGTGTGTTTTTCTTTTAATTTATTACATGAATGTATACAGGGTGTCTGGTAAGTTTTGGCAAAGCGCTTGTGTGTAGATAGAGCGGATTAAACTGAGTCAAAAAGTCCTCTACCATTTTGCAATTTTCGCAATAGTTAACGAGATATTAATTACTAAAAATCGCTGAATATTGGTTTTCATTAATTTTTTACTCAAATACTGTCAACTTTACAGACAAACTGCAAGAGACAAAAATTGTTTATTTCTTTCTCATAGAACTTTAAGATTTTTTTCAGAATTTTTTATAAATTTTTTAGCACTATATTTTCTTATTTTTACCAACATGAGAAAATACGGTATTAAAAAATTCTGAAAAAATTCTCAGAACTTTATAAAAAGAAAATAAACAATTTTTATCTCTCGCTGTTTTTCTGTAAAATTGATAGTATTTGAATAAAAAATTATTGAAAATCAATATTCAGCGATCTTTAGTAATGGAATCCCCTATACAATCTTACAATATCCATAAACGGTTTGATTGTTAAAACAGTTTTTTTGCAGGATTTTGTGTATTGAAATATACAAAAAGTATAATAGGGTATATACATACTGCTTTAATATTTAATTCTAAGAGCAAAAAAATGACTATATTTAATACTCTATGATTTGGGAAAACAACGTATCAATTCATATCAAATGATAAAACTGAACATTATATAAGACCTTCTTAATGATTTAGAAATTTCTTCCCTTTTTAAATTACTTTTTGTTGTAAAATTTTCGTTTCTTAGTACATTTTTATTTCATATTTTAAAATCATCAAATAATTTTGCAAAATTTGTAATAATAAAAAATTATAATAAATATATATATTTTAACATTGCTAGTATGAGATAAATGAGAATATGTAATGAGAATATCTTTCTAATTTTTGTGCTTTCTTTTCTTGCAAGTATGTATGAACCTTTTAATATACCCAGATGAAACAAAAATCGTTTTATGTACCTGTATATCAGGTATACTGGCAGCTTCTTCAGAAAAGTGTCGTCTGTCTGGTTTAGGGCTGTGTTGATGTGGCAACTTAAAAGAGAATTTCCTACGCCTTGAAGGACTGGCAGGAGTACGGGGAGACTCCGGTGGATATTCAAGATCTGTCATGGAACGTGCGGTCAATTCTTGTGCCATAGCAATAGCTGAGTAGAGAGTTTTCTGATCGGCAGCTGAGATAGGCTTCACCTAGACAAGACAAACTTTACTGTTTCCGTCGTAAATAGGGTTACCAACCGTATTCTTTTTGAGGTCGGAAAACAGCGTACTCTTGCTTTTTACTTATTGTACTCTATTTTGAGAAATGAGACGAAATTTAAAAAATTATTATTTAATATTTACATTTATTACTTTACAAAAAAGTTTTGCTTGGCTTGTACTAAGGCTTTGGCCATTATGTAAAATATAAATATTTATTTATATATTATATAGAGGTTTTGATAGAGATTTGGTTATATATATTTGTTGAAGAAACTTATAAATAGCAAAATACGTTGAATACATGAACCAATTTTATTTTCTCAATTCTATTAACATTAACATTAAAAAAATCTGAAAGTAAAATGTAAAGAAACATATTTATTTGTAACTTTATGAAGACTAAATAGATGTCAAATCAAAATTACATTCTAAAAATGTCATTTTATTAAATATTAGCATTTAAAATAAAAAAGTTCATCATCTTTTTTTCTTTTTAGAAAGTATACTCTTTTTGCATATCAATGTACTCTTTTCGTGCGACAAAGAGTTGATAACCCTAGTCATAAATTAACATTTTAATGTGATGATTCTCTCTTTTATTACATTTTCTTACAAATATTAACTATATAACACAAGTATTATACTAAGAATATAACTAGAAGCATTATATAGGGTGGCCCATTGAAAATGAAACAGACTGAATATTTCCAACAAAAATGATTTTTCGAAAAAACGCAAAAACAGATCGATTTGTGTTGGGAGATATCTTTAGGAGCATAGTAATTAGGCGGATTCCAATCACTATGCTTAGTGCGCACATGTATATGCGGTATGTATGTGTGTGTGAGGAATCCGAGAGTGGGAGAAGTACGTAGCTAGCACAGTATATATAGTACCGTATGTAATGTAAGAAATTATTTCGACATGTAATGTAAGAAATCTATTTGTTAATGGCTTTAAAATAATTACGATCTTATTCCCACCCTCGGACGTCGACAAAGACGCTAGAAATCAGAATTTTACAAGTTTCACATTCTAGTCAAACTATTAGGAGCAATCTTCCTGTGATCGCCGTTTGCAACAGCCTAGGAACGACCTTCGCGACTTGCATAACTCTCTCCTTTATGCTGCGAATGGCATAATACCTAACTTGTCGGCACCTCAATCCTCCTCTAACCCTTCCATTAATCCTCCATCCTCAATCTCTGGTATCCTCTTATCTTCTATCCCTCCTTCTTTCTTCCTCCCTCTCACTTAGTACCGTCACCTCTGCCTCTCGCCATGTGCTCCCATTCCCCTCGCCATCCTCTCCTACGACCTTGGACTCGCGAAATCCATTTGGCTTATCACAAATCTTTCATATTTTACTTTCTTTCCTCCTTCAAATTACGAACAATATTCCGGATTCATATAAGAATAGTTAGGTATCGGCCTCCATAATATACTTGATTCTCTCCAATCTCTCATTGACGACAATCTCTCAATTAATTTCATCTTCTCCTACGTTTCAGTGTTATGGGTGATACAGGCTCGCTTCGCCTATTGTATTGAAACTGTCGGGAGGCGCTTGATAAGAAGGCCGAAATCGAAAAAATGGCAGAATCTTAGGATATCATCTTTCTAGCCGAGACTTGTGTCAAGGGGGATCATGACTTTCGCGTACGAAGTTTTGACTGTCTTCGCATCAATGCAAACACGGTTGACGTAAGAGGTATGCTCGTTATTATCCGAAACCCTATCACTTACTCTACTATAGACCTAACACCTTGACATTCCGTGGAAGCTTTAGTTATCAGGCTTTCTCTTAGCAATTCGCAGTTCAGTCATTGTGAATTGCGGGTTGGTGCCTACAAACATCCCAACCTACCCGCCTCGCGTAACGTACTCTCCTTTTTAACTTCTTTTATCGGGACACACGACCTGGCTTCTGGGTGACCTTAACGTTCATCATCCGCTATGGGGAGCTTCGCGCAATAACTCTGTGGATCGTATTCTTTGCGAGGGTATCAATGCCCATTCCTTGATTGTACTTAACCCTCTGTCTTTTCCCACCTGTGTCTCTCATCCTTTCAGAAATCCCTCCACGATAGACTTAGCGATAGCTTCTTGCGGCATTGCTTCGAAGTGCGATGTGCGAGTTCCCTCTGACCTCTTCGGTAGTGACCACCATCCAGTGGAGGTTCGCATTAATTGCCTGGTCAGAACGGTAAGTATCTTTTCTTATAAGATTAACTTTACGCCATCTCAATGGGCGGAGATCAAACAGTACTTATGCGATAACGGTAATTCTATCTCTCAATCTATTGCCTCTATTAATCCCGATGACCTCTTGATTCAATATAACACCTTCCTTGAGCTGATTTCCCAAAGTTTCAAGACATTCTTGCCTTCTAATCCGTGTCGGAATCGCCCCCGAATGTTTGACGTAGCTCGCACTAATAAAGGCCCCCCTCCGGCTCTCTGGTGGACACCGGAATGCACTAAGGCTGTCAAAACCCTATTCTATAGATCTATTCTATCGTGAGCTTGTATGTACACTAAGAATGTAGGAAATTGAAAGACCTTTCTAATGATGTATCATTCGACCCCCTTCTCATTTGAAATCTTTTAGGGATTAGCACCTCCACTTAGGGGGTTGAAGTTGAGGATAAGAATTATACGTCAAAAGATGTTTCCCTCCCAACACAAATCGACCTGTTTTTGCGTTTTTTCGAAAAATCATTTGTGTAGGAGTTATTCAGTCTGTTTCGTTTTCGATGGGCCTGTATGTGTATAATATTTCGATTATAAATTGTCGAGTCCGTTAATTGTATTTTTTATCTTTCAATTCTTCCTAACACATATTAACATAAAGGAAAAGAATATTGAAAAGTGTTGCAAATAATAACAAGAAGAATAACATTAGATAATATATATAATAAAAAATTACTGTACATTTATTGGACTCACGGTGGCTTGCTTCTTTTTATGTTTTGCTTGAATTTCCCTCAGTTCATTCCTTGCGTTGCTTGATTCATGTTCAATGAATAACGAATGGCCGGGAGGGGAAGAACCTACAGAAAAATATATATCAGTAATTTATATCAGAAACATAAGACAAAATGATCCATCATGATTAGTTGAAATATTATCTTGAATAATTACTTTTTCGAAAAGAATTGTCTAGTTTTTAAAAGACTAACAAAATAGTATCAAAAAATATTTTTAAACCAGTTTTTTGGAAGCAGATTTCACAAGTATTTTTTTTTCTTTTTACGGTTCTTCCCTACATTGTAGCTATTTCGGATTGTGACGTCAGAAGCAAGAAAAACACATTTAGAAAATTCTTGCAAACATATTAAAATGTATTTTTTTATAAAACAACATTTGCAGTCAAAAATAGACTTATCAAATATGTACATCGAAAACTCCCTTTGTGTTTCAGTAATCAATAAATAATCATAGAGGGTGACTAGGGGGATTGCAAGATGCAGGTAGCAAAATGACACGTGTAACTGGAAAATGTCTCTTATAGATTAGACAAAAAAAGAAGTAGAATATCAAAAGTGCGGACCAAAGGATAGATACGTGAAAACACAAAAAGTGAGAAGCAACAAAGGATAAAGACGTGAAAGGCAAAAAGGAAATTAAAGGAAAAGAGATTAGTTAATACACAGTATAAAAGATAAGGTTGAGTTCGGAATTTTACCAAATGCGAAGATACAAAAGTAGAGACAAAAAAAGGAGGATCACAAGGTGATCAGAATTATCACGACATCTACTGATAAAGAAAAATCGATAAGACAGGAATTAACTGATACCGATACACATTAGAAAATTAATGGATAATCTAAAAAACGATAAATGTACGAACAGAGGAAGATAGAGGAAGAGGGAGAAAAAGGAGGGAAATAAAAAAGGTAAAATAATCTTGGACCATTTAATTACAAGGTCGACAGTTGGGAGCGAGGAATCATCAAGCAAAAAAGAAGAAAACGAAAATGAAGACAGAATAGAAACAGAAAGAGAATTCTTAGAAAAATTTGAAAAAATTATAAGGAAAAAGAGGAAAATCCTACAAAGAAAAAGAAACATTATCAAAGGAAGATACAGAAGAATATAAAAACATGACATGAAATTGATAAGAATTCATGAGAGATGTAAAAGAAAAGTTGAGAAATACAAAAAGAAGAAACAAAGAACTCAAGGACAAATGGAGACAGAAAGAAGAGTGATGGAAAGGAAGAATTACGGAGGTGGAGAATAAGATAAAGAATTTGTTGATGAAAGATAGAATAGATGAAAAATTACAAGAAAAAATAAAAAATTAGAAATAGCAGAAAAGGCGAGAGAGAAAAGGAAAAAGAGAACATTATAATAAAATGCTGAGAAATAACAAAAAGAGGTACGCTGAAGACAGCAATGGAAGAGATACGAATGTAGAGGTAATCATAGAAGAAGTTAAGAAGAAATTTTTTGTTACATATAAAAAATATATTTCTTTCACTAAAAACAGTTGTAAAACTATATAAACTGTTTCTTTAATTCTAATAAAAAGAAACAACCAAAAAACTTCTTCAAATTAAAGAAATCGAATCGATGTCGATGTCATTATTTCTTAATTTTTAATGTGCCATGTAAATGCCAGGCCAGTCCGTCGGTGGCGGCATAACAGTCGCTTACCAGCGCTACTAGACAAAACGTGACGTTGCTGGCGTGGCGCTTGCAAGTTTAACATGCTAGCTCCCAGGAAGGAAGGCTAATATTACACGAGTTCGTTTTTTGTCGTACGACAAATGTGTACACAACAGAGGTCCTCGGATCTCTCTATCTCATAGCCAATCAACACGCTTGAAAAATTTGTCGTACGACAAATGTAATATTAGCTTAAGGCCGCTATTTCATTTGTACGTTTTTGTTGTACGACAAATTTTTCAAATCTGTTGATTTGCTACAAGATAGAGAGATCTAAGGATCTCTCTGTCTTGTACACATTTGTCGTACGACAAATGAAATAGTACCCTAAGAAGACTCCACTCAATCTAGCCAGTCCTCAAACATGCGTCAATTTTGCGTTTCGAATTAAGTTTCGATTCTTGACACTCGTAGCGCTTGTGAATTTTGTAGTCCTGCTCATAATGAGTGCGCCGTAGGAAAAAGTTTCACGAACGTTTAAGGACATTCTCCGAAAAATCCATTTTCTTTAAATTTTTTTAAAATTTACAGAAAAAGCTTATTTTAGTATCCTCAACATGTGCTTTAAAACTTAACCCGAAACGGGATTAGAAATCGAGATATTCCACTTCAAAGTTGAAGCATTTAACATAGGATTCCTATCTAAAGCTTATTCGAAAATGGTCTTTTTATTCACTATAAAAAAGTTTTTCTTAACAATTTTTTGAAACAATAAGACATAAAACTTGATATCACAAGGAATAATATGAAATTTGTCTGAATATTGTTTCCGGTATTCGAATGGAAACCTCTATTTTTTATTACATATTCTTGTAGCTTATCTCGAGAACTTTCCAAAACACTATAATAAAGTTATTTTTCGTTAAGTACTTGTTAAGATATAAGGTAAAACCGATCGCTGATCCGGCCGATTAAGGCAAGACCGGGACTGATCCGGCCAACTAAGGCAACGATACAATCTTTCTGCTCTACAATAATTTCGTCCAGCTTCATCAAGCACAAGAATAATATCAACGATTTCATTTGAACTGTAAGCGGCCATTTTGAAAAAAGCTTTGAAAAAGCCCACTAATGTAAAAAAATTGAAAGAAAAAGCTATACGAAAAAAAGAGGAAAGTTGAATTGTTCAATTGAGAAGAATTGGACTCAATTCCATGAGCGTATGTCAAGTAGTGTGGATAGATCGCGGAGACGCGCGCGCGTAAGAATCTCGCTCACACGCGCATGCGTACATGGATAACGCCGGCGGTATTGTAACTTCCAAGTTCCATAACTCTGAAAGTACTTAACGAAAAGTAATTTTATTATAGTGTTTTGGAAAGTTCTCGAGATAAGCTACAAGAATATGTAATAAAAAATAGGGATTTCCATTTAAAAAAACATTAATGACCCTGATTTTGACAAGGTCACTCAAGGTCACATTTCCATCATGTGTCCCTTTTCAACCCATGCAACTTTCGTTCGAAAAATTTTTCAATAAAATCATCAATTCGCGAGATAATCGACCATATCACTTAAAACGAGACATCCTGTACATATATTATATATACAGGGTATTTCAAAAGTAACGATAAATCTTTCGCACAGAGACAAAATGGACTAAAGAAAAGATTGAGAAGAAAAGTCCTCTATCATTTTGCAATTTTCGCAATAGTTAACAAGATATTAATTGCTAAAAATTGTCGAAATTGATCTTCAATAATTTTTTACTCAAATACTATCAACTTTACAGAAAAACTGCGAGACAAAAATTGTTTATTTTCTTCTCATAAAGTTCTGATAATTTTTTCAAAATTTTTTATCAACTTTTTAGTACTGCATTTTCTTATTTTTACCAACATGAGAAAATACGGTATTAAAAAATTCGAAAAAAATTCGAAAAAAATTTTTGGAGCTTACATCAAATGTTTTAGAAGTTGATTCAACGTCTTTTCAACCAATCATTTATCATTAGGCTTCGATGATCTTGATCTTGATACATGTTGTCAAGATTATTACTCTGAGTGACCCCTTCAATAGGTTTTAGCCGTCGCTCGTTATTCGTTAAAAAGTTATCAACAGTCAAAGTTAGTAATTCTATCCATGCTTTACATGAAAAGTAAGATAACTCTAGGCAGGGAAAAGTATGGGATAAACCGATTAAGGGAATACGGCTTTCCACGTGAAACGAGTTCCACTCCACCTCTCCCTCTGCCAAGGGGTGTTTGACTTTCCACGCGAAGCAAGATCTATCTAAATGAAAAGTTGTATGCTTATTGGCAGGGGAGGAGGTGAAATGGGACTCGTTTCGTGTGGAAAGTCGTGCGCCTCTTGGCAGGGGAGAGGTGGGGTGAAACTCTCTTCGCGTGGAAAGCTATTATGTAAGCAAGGAAGAGTATAGAAGGAGGGGTATAGTTTTCAATATATAGCAGAAATAAAGCGTTATTTTTTCAAATTTTTTTTATTCATAACTTTTTAACAAATAACGAGTGACGGCTAAAACCTGTTGAATGCCATTCAAGGTTATGACCAACATATTATGACAACACATGTCAAGGTCATCGAAGCTGTCTCCCCTGAAGTGAATAATTATCCTTTTTCTCTCAAAGAAAGATACATTTTTTGTTTGCTTGTTTATCTTTCTTTAATTCTACCTAAAGATCTATAATAAAAGAATTCCGTTAGCAAAAGTGAAAATATAAAATCTGTTTCATAAAATCTGTTTTAAAAATGTTGCTGTTTGTTTTGTTATTCTTTGTTCATTACCTTAAAAGTCCATAAAAATCCATGAAATGCATTTTTTTTTACTAAAATTATTATTCAAGATAATAGTTCAAATGAATATAATATATAAATTACTTTACATATTCCTGCATTCTGTATACCGAATGTTCCTTAACTTAGGAAGTGCTGCAGATTCAAGACAAAAATAACAAAAAAGTTCATATCTGTTGAACTTTGGATATGATCCATTTTAATACTACAAATATGTATTTGGAAGCATTTGATTGACCAATTAAAAGAAAGAATTTTACTAATTGACCGATCAAAGAATGGTTCAAAACATTTTCAACATCAAGTGGACCGTAATCTTGGCTGTATGTGAATAATTAACTCTTAACCCACACAAATATAGAAATTGAATTTTTATCGAATTGGATCATTAAATGAAAATACCCTGCACAAAATAATGATGTGAATCAATTGATGTAAAGAAAGTATATAAATGTTTGAAAAAAATCTGTAGTCTGCAAGTATACAGGGTGTTTAGAAAGTAATGAAAAATCTTTCGCATAGGAACAGAATGAACTAAACTGAGAAGAAAAATCCTCTACCATTTTACAATTTTCGCAATAGTTAACAAGATATTAATTACTAAAAATTGTCGAAAATTGGTTTTCAATAATTTTTTACTTTAGGAGGATGGGCTTTGGAAATTAAGACACGTGTTTAAAGCAGATATCCCAATATGTCTCAAACGCTAAATGTTTGACCAATGTGTTCTCCCGGTGCTGATGTATGGCTCGGAAACATTGACCTTGACACAAAAATCTGTCAATAAGATACAAGTCGCCCAGCGAATGATGGAAAGATCTATGCTGGTACTAACGCTGAGAGACCATGTTCCAAACAAGGAAATACGGCGAAAAACAGCGGTAATAGACGCAGTTGAAAAAATAGTCCATGCTCAATGGAATTGGGTCGGTCATGTGGCGAAAATGGCGGATAATAGATGGACTAAGCGATTATTGGAATGGCGACCACGACAAGAGGCAATCAGAAGTAGAGGAAGACTTCCGACCCGATGGTCCAATGATATAAAAAGAATCTCTATTAACTGAATTCAGGATGCATAAGATCGTGAAAAGTGGAATAAGAGGCTTATGTTCAGTGGACAAGAGGAAGAGCTGTATGATGATGAAAGATATTTTTCTAGATTTTCAATCTTAGTTCCACAAAACTTAGTATATTATTCATTCAAATAATTTAAAGTGCGATGTAGTGTTACGGGTCCATTCTAAACAGAATAATCGTAACGCTTGTAACATATTTTCGTAAGACTCGTAAAGATTTACAAGTGCTTATGACTTTATGCAATATTTTTACAGATAGTTTATTGCTAGCCGTAAGATTTACGAGACATCATGGATAATGTGGATATTTACGAATGATCGTACGTCTTACGGTACATACGCATAAAATTACAACATCAGTTATAAATTCTTACAAGTCTTATGAGAATAAATCACGAGTCTTACTGTTCTGCTTAGAATTAATTCATTATTTTGTCACGAACTATGAAACTCTTATATCAAGCAAACATTAATCTTATGTCAGCTATATGAGCCAAAAATAAAATTTTAATTTATTTTCAATTTTCTTATACTTAAAATCGACTTCATCACATCTCTTCGTGTGTGTATTTTTAATTCTGTAACAAGAAGTTTGTAAATCAGTTTGAAAATTTTTAATAATTGTAATTCGTAGTAATTCCCGTCACATCATCCTCTTAATTCAATTTTTTACAATACACTGTGGGCTTGATTTCAATTTTTGTAAATTTTCTGAAGATTACAAGGGTTTGGTTAGTTCGGAACACGGCCCTTTATTATTTTCCCAAGGAATTTGGCAAAATTAAGTCTTATAAGAATGGGGCGTTGATTTAAAATTGTGAATTTTGAGGAGAACAAGTAGCACAATTTTTTAACAATACAAAATATCTTATAAGACCGTAATGATTACACAATGAATCGGAAATAAAGGTCGTAAACGGTGTGTCTCTCAAGCTGGATTTTCAGTGTTGAAATAATTATGTGTGAATTTGTATACTACATATCCAATCCCTCAAACTACATGCCGAATTTATTTTCAGTCTTGGAACAATTCTAACAGAATTAGAGTAGTAATATCATAAATTAAATTGACAAGCAATTATATTGATGCTCATAAGGCATTTTAGATTGATCTTAATGTTCTGATGCTTATAAGCATCCTAAAATCTCAAATTAATTTTATTGCGAAAAATGCGTACTTCCATATGTATAAGTTATCGCGAAGAATACTGTTAACGCCTCGGTGATCTGAAAACTTAGGACGCTCGCACGGAATGTAAGAGATCCAGATGCAATCCCTGGTCGAGGTAATATTTTTCACAATATGGTAAAACTAATTACAGATTTTAGGATGCTTATTAGCACCAGAATATTAAAATCAATCTAAAATGTCTTATGAACATCAATATAGTTAAGTTGCTTGTCAATTTAATTTGTGATATTACTACGATAGTTCTGTTAGAATTGCGTTTTAAGACTGAATAAATTCAACGCGCAGTTTAAGGAATTGGATATGCAATATAACAATTTTTTAAGTTCTGAGGCTAAATAATATGATCACAAATATATAATCAAGCACAGAGATACGAATACAATTCTTTTCGAAATGATTTTTTATCGAGAGCAAATTAAATAAATGAATGTTTCTTAATTTATTCGGCAATTGACCAACAAAAATAAAAAATCGTCGTAAGGAAAAATTTGATTTATGCTAGAAGTTTCGGCATTATAAGTGCAGCCAAAATAAAAGCTATACTATTTTTTTGCAAAATAACTATTCACTCTGGTTTTAATCTCTCTAATCCGTTTTTATATGTTACATGTTTTAATTGTTTCTAGAAGTATTTAACGGACCAGATATCCGAAACTATTGAACGATAACGCTTTCGATGAATGTGTACACCCAAATAACTTATTGTACAAAATTGTGTGAAAGCCGTAATTTCGAATTTTTTCGGGGAAACATCGAGCTGAAAACTACTGTACATTAGTAGATGATATGAAAATTGCTTTTGAGAATATCGGCGTTAATATGTCACTGAAAATCCATTGTTTATACCGCTCTCTTGAATTCTTTGAATAATGTTATCGTTTTCGTTTTATTCACACGCGTACATCTGTTCTTATCTAGCGCGCGCACGCGTATTGTAGCATCATCTCCTGCAAAATCTCTGGCTACACGTAATGCTGCTCATTTTTATAATTCATCTCTCTAAATTTTATACTTGTAAAATGTTGTTAGAGTTAATCTTTCTTCTAGATTTTTAATCTTAACTCAATTACACGTATTATTCGTACATATTAGGTTTGTTTTCTGTTCCTGCACTGGTTGCACTAGTTCAAAAAGTGTACACTAAAGCGTTTTCTGTTCCCAAAATAGCGTCAGCAATGCTGCTTTTTGTTCCAATACAACAGAACTCAGTGCACGAATTCACTTGACACTAGAACCGCTGGAATTGGATACCCTCCTAGAACCGCCAAACGCGCCAATTTGGTTCTTATGTTTTCCTCTGATTAATAAAACGTTATTTTGATATTATTTGCATTATTTGGGATTGTACACACACACACACACACACGCGCGCGCGCGCGCGCGCGTATATATATAGCTGTAGCTATAGCTACAGCTATCGGCAATTATCCCCACTCTTCCCTCACTACGCGTTACCAAGTGGCAGCGCAATCCAGAATCTGGCACCACTGATTTGGGATGTCATTTTTATCTTGCACAGAATGTTTTTTTTATTCCTTGCCTGTACGCCAGTTCTGGATTGCACTAGTTCAGTTCTAGTGCAATCCTCGTGCAGAAAACAAACCTATTTATTATTTCAAGAGAGCGATTATTTTATTTTATATAATTATATATAAACTGTAAACTTCTTGCATTTGGCAAATATTGTAAAGTGACAGCTTTACATAAAAAAAAAGAGTAATATTTTTAATTTTTTTCGTTTTTTATGTAAAATTGAATACCTTCTCTTTTATTTTTATGCATCCTTTAATCGTGAAAACCAAAATTTTACATTCCTGAAAAGCCAATTCAAAGATATCATAAAATAAAAATAATGTTCGTAATCAATAAAATAGAAATTCAGACAAGGCTAATGAGAATCAAACGCTGATGTAAGAGCGAAGATTTAAAAGATGCAGATAATACTCAAGTGTTAATGGTTATCTTCATTTATAGTGTCGAACGTTTCGGCTCACTTTGGAGTCATCCTCAGCGAAAAGCAGAAATATAAAATCCTCCATTGAGAGCAAGTCACTTGCAGATTGACAGAAATGCGGTAATCAATACGCTCAATGGGAAACAAAAAACGAAGTTCAGAAACATTGATTCACAATTTTAAAAGTTAAAATATAAATTAATACATGTCGTTCCTCAGATTATAGAATCGTGTCAATTCGTCGTGACGATTAGAATTTAAAATTCTAATCAATTTTAACCTAACCTGAGTTATCTGCATCTCCTAAATCTTCGTTCTTAGCATTTGACCCTCATTAGCCTTGTCTAAATTTTTATTTTATTGTTTAAGATTGAGAGTCCTTATTTATATATTTATATATTTATGTAATTGTTTAATGTTCATAATTGACTTCATTTTAAGATCTCTTTAATTAGAGACTGAAACATGTTTAATTAACTTTAAAGAAGTTTGAAAAAGTACTTCCTTCATTGAGAAACATCCGATATAATACAGGATATCTTTCAATCTTGCCTTTACCTAATGATCTGAACATTTGATCCATTTCTGCCAAAAGACTTGGACCAAAATCAAAATTTAATGTCTTATCAAATTTTAACGGACTATCTTGGTTTTCTTCATCACTGATTTCGTGGTATTCATGGTCAGCTCCAAGAGTATCAGTATTACTACCTATATTGGATGTCATAGCTTGCTTGTTTGCGTTGTTGCCTGTAGCATGGCATATCTCCGAATTCATATCAGACCATAGGCTCTCTAAATAAACATATAATATAATATTATATTCTCAAAGTAGTACAAAATTGATTACCAAAATTAAATATAACTAATATTTGATCAATGTTTTGTTCTATATTTTTAAATCATTTTCTTATTTATATAAATTATATCTATTTAATAAACATAATAATTTTAAATTAAGAAGCGCCATAACGGTCAGAACGTTAAGATGTTGAACTATTGTAAATTCATTTAAATGAATTAATTTTCAGAAATGATAATTGCGTGCCGATATGGTTGTCGGACTTTCAACGCAATCAAATCTGAAATTAATAATCCCCCCAAATTCCCCAACTTAAAAACTGTAATAAAACTTATTGCGAAAAATAATGCCTCGGCCAGGAGTCGAACCCGGATCTCTTGCATTCCGTGCGAGCGTCCTAAGCCTTTAGACTACCGAGAAAATTAATTCATTTAAATGAATTTACAATAGTTCAACATCTTAACGTTCTGACCGTTATAGCGCTTCTTAATTTAAAATTATTATGTTTAACATTAGCGGTCTTTCAATCTTATTACTATTTAATAAAATTAATCATAAATGTATTACTTTTATAAATAAATCTGTACGTACAGAATATTCAGTAAAGACCGTAACAACGATTAAGGGTAAATTATTGAGATCATTTTGAGATGAAAATTTTAATACCAAAATTTTGAGATTATAACAGTTTTTAAACCATAAGCATTTAGTTAACGAATCGATCAGTTATCATCTGAAATTCGTGCGAAGATGTGGGCTGTGTTCCAAAATATATTGGCAGTATTGAAAACCTACATTGATGTAAACTACAGATTTTCAGTACAAGCAGTAAATTTTGGAACACAGACGTGGTACAACGTAAAATACCAAATGCAAATACAAACGCGCGAACTTTAGGTGACTCGCTAACTTTAAATGCCTATAATTTAAAAACTGTTATAGCCTCGACATTTTTGTATTCGAATTTTCATCTTAAAATGACCTCAGGAATCTACTTTTAAGCGTTGTTACGGTCTTTCCGGGACACCTTATATATGCGATCAATAGAGGTGGTATTATGGCCAATGTATATATTGTGGCCTCCCTTAATATCTCCACTATTATAAAGCGAATCCTAATGATTACTTATGGAATTATTAGTTCAATTTGATAATTCAATTTGATGATTTCAATCTTAATTTCAACGTCGAAGATACCGATTCGATGTCGATTCCATTGTCATTTTTCAGTACGCGAGCGCACATGCATACCGCGCTTAATTGTACACATTCTTTTCTCCAAATAAAGATGACTTTATTGTATCTAATTAAATCCGAGTTTTTCGAATTGCATCTCCTCTCCAATCTGAACCTCTTTTTGCTTCCCGAACCGAAATTACCGACGAGTTAGGTCCGCATAAAAAAATTAGGTTGTTTCAATTTTTATCAAGATTGCAAAAAAACATTACAATTCGGAAAAGGCTCTATTGTAAATAATTACTTAATTTTATTTTATAAAATAATTCTGCTTTATAAAAAGGTTATTGTAATAAAAGATAAATATACCATGTTTACTTCCAGTTTCTTGTTGTATGCTTCTACTTTCTCTTGTCGATTCCCTATTCATGTCTATGCTTCTTGCATTCTGAGTTGAAATTTGACTAAAATTATCGGTTGCATCCTCCTGCGGTTTGTACGGCGTCACAACTTGACGAGGCAAATGCGGATACTTTCCAAGAAAGCTAATGTCACCAAAATATGCTCCATCTAAACCTACGTGACCAGTATGTTTGAGATCGCCTTGTGGTGAGGATATCATGTCCGTTCGAATTTTTCTACGTTGCGAGGAGAAAGCATTTCTACCATCTCCCCGTGTAAATTCGCCGGGTTTATTACTAGGCAGATTGGACCCAAGATATGCGATTGTGTGAGCCGGATTGAAGAATCCCGTTTTGCCATTATTTAGAACGCCCTTCCACAAAGTATTGCTGCTACCTTTGTCCAGAACTGTGATTATATCGCTCTGTCTATAAACGAGCTGACCTGACTCGGTGCTATCTTGGACTGCCTGCACTTGCTCAGGTTTCAGATCGGGTAGTACATTAATCAATTCGGAGAATTTGGGCCTCTTTGAGGGTTCGTGTTGCCAACATTGTTGCATCAAAGTAAAATAGTCTTTTGGACAGCACTCAGGTTGTTCTAGTCTCTGAAAATTAGGTTCGTCTATTGCTTCAAGAATTTGATGGCCGGTCAGCGCTGCCCAAGGCTGAAATCCGTAACTAAACATCTCATATAACGTTACTCCATATGCCCAAACGTCGCTCGCTGACGTAAACTTCAAATATGATATGCATTCAGGTGCGCACCATGCAATAGGCAGCTTCAAATTAACATTGAAATTTGTTTGATAATAATCTTTACCCACCCCTAAAGCACGTGATAATCCGAAATCCGATATTTTGACCTTGTTCTTGGAAAATACAAGGATATTTCTGGCAGCAAGATCACGATGTATCAATCTTTTCGCTTCCAGATATTGCATTCCGTCAGCGATTTGCATAGCGAAATCACACAGCGATAAGACAGGAAAACTTGCACGTAGACTGGGTTCCTTAAGGCATTCCAGTAATGAACGCAATGGAGCCAATTCTGTAACGAGCATCAGCGAGTTCGTATCGAGCACGACGCCATATAGTCTCACAATATGCTCATGATCAATTGCGTGCATTATCGCGGCCTCTTTCAAAAATTCTATGGGATTGTTCTGCATCCTTTCGCGTGACAGACATTTAATGGCAACTTGTATCCTTTCTCCATCATTAGTCCATACTCCTTGTTGCACGACCCCAAATTCACCGGTCCCAAGTTCTTTATTCACAATAATCGCATCAGCCGGAATCATGTGTTTATTGGGAACACGTATTACTGATGGCTTGTTATGTCTTTCTTCTGGTAACATGCCTAGAACACCAGAAGGCTGCTCTTCGCGTTTTGGTAGTAGCATTTTTTTAAATTTGGATAAATAATTTTGAGGAAAAAGCTTCTGAAAGTATTTCTTTAAACGACGCATCTCCGGCTTGCTCATTCCTATCGCACTCAAATCTTCTTCTGTCACATATTTCAATTGCGCTGTTGTTTGCACCTTCAAGTCCCCTAATTAAAAATGTCTTTGTTATTAAATATATCTTAATAGAGATTCAAATAAATAGTTATAAATACATAAATATTTGAATTGGTGTGCAAAATTATAAATAAAACTGTATATAAATTACTTAATACTTTATTTTTTGAAGAATAATGTTTCCTTTAATCCCTTAAGTCTCTATTATGTCATGGATTGAGAAGGCTCTGAGCATCTACAATATCTACAAATGTCATGAAATTTATCGTCTTCTTTTAAAAATACTATTAAAAATTGTTCGAAAATATAATTATTTATGGGTATTTAAAACTAAAAATTTCGATTTTCTAGACAAAGTTTCAAAATTTGCAAATTCAAAATAATGACTTTAACATAAAACTTTCAAGCATTTTATAAAACAAATGAATTTTTTAATAGCCGTTTACGGGTACGCAGGGGTTTGAGAAATAAGTGAATCCTATATAATAAAATTGTATATATATTAAAACCTCAGTAACGTGCGCGAAGCGTCTAGTTAAATTAAAATTAAAATTACTAAAATTTACTTTTAAAAATCCAATACAACAAATTCACATTTTTATAAACTTTTTTTAAACATTTGAAATAAAATTTTTATATAAAATAAATAAATCTTTTACAGTATAAATTATACATTTTTCTTTAAAATTCTAAATACGATATATTTTATTGTAAAATGTTTGATTGTATTTATAAAATGTTATTTGAAGTAATTATAAAACATCAAATTTAAAATCCGCAGCGATTTCAAAAACTATAATACGTAAAGATGTACGACAAAATGTAATGATATACACTGATATATTAAGAATTTTGTAAAATTTTCCGCCACATTGTATTTATAATATTATCTTAAAATTTATTTATTACGTTAACATCAAATTTATATCTAACAATTTCAAATAAATTATTAAAATATGCCACGACAACCTATATATATAGCGGCCATATTGAATATTAGTTTCGTATTTCCGGATGTCATATGTATAGCGGCAGTGCCACTAACGGTGGTAACGCCGAAACAAGAGGGGAGATTGGAGGCCCTGGCTGCCCCTCGCGAGATGTCTCGTATGAACACATCGACGAGAATCCGCGAACTGGGCAAAACGATGCCGAGGCCACGACACTGGTAAAAATCCGCAGCTGAAATCACTAGATTTCTAAAATACCGCAAACTCGCATCTATTTTGACGCAAAACATGGCTATTTCGAATTTATGCATTTGTATTATATATATGTACTTTATTTGGAAAAATGAAGCCGTCAAGTATGTAAATCAATGTTTTTGAATTGTAATTAGTTTATTTATGACCAAAAGAATATGTACGAATGCTTAATTTATGTGTTCTTTGGTTCAATACAAGTTTATTTGTTGTAGAAGTTTATTTAGTGCATGAAAGTGCACAAAGGGACATGTAAGTATAGTTTAAAAGATGAACCATCAACCACCATGCTTGGAATCGTGTACTATGAGCACTTCGGTCATTTTGACGCAACATTTCTGAAATCAATTGCGCTACTTTATAGATCTAGTGACTTTATCCGCGGCATACAAAAGTCGGCACGTCTTAGGCCCGGTTGCACCAACGTTACTTTAATTTTAAGCGAGACTTAAAACTCTCTTTGTCTCTGTCTCTTTTCAGTTTTAAAACAGAACAGAGAGAGTTTTAAGTCCCGCTTAAAGTCAAAGTAACGTTGGTGCAACCGGGCCTACAGCTTAAGTTGGAAGCCTGCAAAGTTACTAGGCCGACTATGTTAATCGAAGCTTGGTGACAATGGCCCTTAGCAGGGTACTTATTATGGAACATGTCGGAATGAATTCCGATCGGAATTATTCCGTTTTCCCTAGAAAATATAATAGAAATCTAGGGAATAATTGAATAATTCCGATCGGAATCCATTCCAAGTTTTTCCATGATAGGTACTCAGAACGGCTTTTTGCTGTGTATCCTGCCTATTATCCTATATTAAAAAACAAGTAAACTTTGTCTGAAATATTTCTTTCGAAAATGCTTCTATCAAAAGTTATAAACATTTAAATTTTAAGATAGAGTACTTTTAAACTAATGATAAAAGCATAAATTAAATAAAAGACTATTGTTTTTCTTCTTTCTGTTCTTTTTTATTGTATTAAATGTTCGATCTGTCGACCATTTACTTTAAAAAACTTATTAATTCTTTCTATAAAATTTTGTCTAACTCTAAACAACATTTCTGGGATCACACTAGCGCAAGCTTCACGTATTCTTCGTTTTAAATCTTCTTTTGTCGTAGGTGATTCAAATGACTTTTTCTTTGACATAGCCCCATAAAAAATAGTCCAAAGATGTAAGGTCAGGTGAACGAGGAAGCCATTGCACAGGATCTCCTCCTCGACCTATTCATTTATCACCAAATATTTCGTTTAAAAGAGTACGTGTGGTATTTGGTATGAGATTTAACTTGGCGCCAGTTGATATCAAATCTTTTATACGATGATACATATCATTAAAGTTAATATTATTTACTTAATTTGGTATGGAATTTAATTTGGCGCTAATTGTTGATATCAAATCTTTTTTACGAATGATACATAAAATTAAGTGGAATTTAACTTGGCGCCAATTTTATTGATATCAAATCTTTTATACGAATGATATGTATCATTAGAGTTAAGTAAATAACAAAGATAATACCACTTGAGTTTTACTTTTTAATTTAACAGAATTTAACTTGATTAGTTAAGACTGGAACATCTGGGTTTTAATTTTTCATTTGATACATTAGTTTTTTCGAGGAGTAATAATTTTTGACAGAGAATTAAAGCGTTCGAGCGAATTGAAACGTTCAAGAATTCTGAATAAAGAAGACACCTGTATATCAAATAGAGTGAAGTGAATTTTCTGATTTAACAATTTGCATACCCCTTCTGCTGACTCTTATTAGTTTTGAATGTCTTTGTTATTGTTATTTTAAACATTAAGAGTCTCTTCTAAGTATACATATTCCATTAATTATACAGATATACAGACTATCTTCCGATGTCCTTGATCTTGACGTATGTTGTAAAGGTCATCACTCTGAGTGGCTTTCGACAGATATTAGCCGTCGCTCGTTATTCATTAAAAAGTTATTAACAAAAAAAGTTTGAAAAAATAACGTTTTCTTATTTCTGCTATAAATATAATATGAAAGACTGTTTTATACCCTTGCTTACAATGCTTACGTAATGGCTTTCCACGTGAAGCGACTTGAACCCCACCTCACCCTGTTTCGGGGCGCACGACTTCTACGCGAAGTGACTTTCATCCCACTTCCTCCCCCTGCTTGGGGGCGTACGACTTTCACGCGAAGCGGATTCCACCTCATCTCCTCCCCCTATAGCCTATACAGTACATGGGGTGTCAAAAAATTATGTAACATTTATGAGATTTTTTGTTGATAACTTTTTAACAAATGGCGAGCGACAGTTAAAATTTGTTCAAGGTCATTCAGGGTCATGACCTTGACCACATGTGTCAAGATCATCGGAAGATAGTCCATATATCTGCATATATATATAATTACCTATATTCCTTTTTAAACTAGTTAACGATATATAATCAATGATATAAAATAAATGAAAACAAATAATACCTCGAATACCGGGATAATACTGTTGTAACTCAGCTTCCATAAGAAACTCGTAAAGACCAGGTCCATTGCGAGACATTCCTCCTTGTGTATCTAGAATTAAAATAAATGTAAAAATATAATAAATAATAAGAGAAACAATAAGAATCATATGGACCATACATTTGAAAACTCAACAATAAGAATTGAAAGAGGCCATAACGGTCAAAGCTAGATCTTTTACTGCTCAAATAATTCAATCTGAATCACTATATATACTATATATGTACATGCATATACATGTATATGAGGGCGGTTTGAAAAGTCCGTGCAAAGTCTAAAATATGACACCGGTACGTATCGAGATTATTTTTAGTATCTGGCAACTCTTGGAGGATCATACACTTTCAGTGAGATAGATCCACTACTCTGTGTTTGGCATTTATTTGAATCGATCAAGTACTGCGATTTATGAAAAATGTATCAAATCAAATTATTAAATTGTTTATCAATTTAATTTGTGATATTACTATAGTAGTTTGATTGCGTTTATAAGTTCCAAAAAGTCATTTTGGTACGCAGTTCAAATAACTACATATTTAGTATATAAATTCACACACAATTATTTAAAAGCATTAAAGATCCAGCTTCGACCAGTATAGGCTTCTAATTTAACAAAGTTAAATAATAGGGTAAAACGCTCAAATTTTTCAATACCAAAGGTAGACGTGATTTTACCTAAACTAAAAGGGAAAAAATACTTTTCAAAGCTAGATGCAGAATTCGTGTTCAAATAAAGCTTGACGAAGAAAGTAGGAAACTAACCACGTTTATTACACCGTTCGGACATTTTATGTTTCGCGCGTTTACCATTTGGTATAAACTGTGCTCCGGATTATTTCTGTCAAAGATTTTCGGAATTATTTTACGATTTAAAAAATGTTACAATCCATATGGACATGTTAATACATACGGATACAAAAGAAAAGCATTTAGAATTACTAGAGGTTATTTCTAAAAAACTAGAAAAAGGAGATATAACATTCAATAAATCCAAGTGCGTGTTTTGCGTGAAAAAAATAGATTTCTTAGGACACGTGATTTCGCAAAAGGAGATTCAATTCTTGTGCTTAGACCATAAATTAAAATTGAATTAAGTCGGATGTACGTCTTCGTAACACATAATAGATATTCTACAGTTTTCAACTAGCTTTTCTCTATCCTAAAAAGGGAATATATCTATTTAATCTCAATACAGAAAATGCGAACAAATGTACTGAGAAGAACAAATCGGGAGGATCCCATTCGCCTACAAATCGATTGCCTTCAGCAGCGTCTTATAAAATAAGCGGTATACAGATCAAGATCTTACAGAAAAAAATAAAAGTATAGAAAAATAAATCAAAGAAACTTTAAGAGAGAAATATATGTCAAAAACTCAAAATTAGCCAATGTAAACTAATACAAGATATCCATGCGTAAAACATTAACAATTTAAGTACAAATAAATTAGACTTTCGACTCTGTTTTGGATTGTCTTCAGTACAATGAAAAAGATTAATAAATATTTCTTTTACAGTAACATCATATTGTTTAAATGAATATCTATTTGAGAGTCATCATGAAACTAAAGTCCCCAAGAAACATTTAAAAATTCCGTAATTCTACTTTAATTTTTGGACAAATTAAGTCAAAAAACTTAGTTTCTTATAAATAAAAAGAGATTTGATAAATTTAAACTACAAACGTCTTCAGTATTTGACGGAATACTTGAATCGTGTGTCCAAATAAAACTAACCCAGACAGCCAAATTTGAAGAGACTGATCTTGAGCAAGGTCTGTTACAAATTTCTGATGTCAGAAAGGCAACAGATTGCATACAGAATCTGTAGCAAACTGCTGTCAAAAATATGACGAAGCCTGCTGACATGCTACGCCAGCAAATTGATGATAGAAATCGAACAGAGTCTGCTGCATAACCTGACAGCAGATTGCAAGCAGAAATTGAACAGAACCTGCTGACATAACCTGACGGTAGATTGGCAGCAAAAACCGAGCAAGATCTGCCATTTTCATATACGGCCTCGCCATGAGATGGACTTGCTTCTTGTAAGAAGAAAACATCTAGGATCTCTATTCTTGAAAAGTATCACATACGAAAAACTAGGGAAATGCTATAGTATATGTAACGCATACTATAGTATTTCCCTAGTTTTTCGTATGCGATACTTTTCGAGAATAGGAGTCCAGGAATCCTATAAGAATTGGCGTATGTAAATCGAATAGGCAAATCTCCTAGAGATTCCCAAACTCTTTCGGAGTTTGCTTTCTGAATCTCCGAATATTTTTTTGACTATTTTATAACTTTCTCATATGTATTTTGAAATGTGAAGCTAATCAATAATATTTTAGCAATAAAACTGTATTGATTGTTTCTAATTTTCACACTAGTACATATAAATATATAATTATGTATAATTATACATGACCGTTTATATATATATGTATGTAAAATTTCTTATAGAGGGATTCTCTAAACTTATCAAAGATTATCGCTATCGTTAACTAGCGGCAGACAATGACAAAATAATTCTTATATAAGAAAGTGCAGCTGTCATTAGCTGTCGTTAATTAACAATAGCGACAATTGTCGATAAAACGTTTAGAGAATCCCACAACAGATCAATTTAAATAAAAATGATAGATCTTTCTGCTGTCAATCTGTTGTTAAGTTATATCAGCAGACTTTGCTCAGTTTCTGCTCACAATCTGCTATCAAATTCTGTTAGCAGGTTCTATTTGATTTCTGCTGCCAGTTTGTTTGCATAAAATGTTAACAGGTTCTATTGGCAGAACATGAGCAGAATACGACATCAGTTGTGGTCAGTCTGCTAACATCTTCTGATCAAATCTGCTACCAGTCTGTCGACATCCTGCTAACATTTTGCTATCTGGGAAAACACATTAACAGTCAATAAAATAATTTAAAAGTATCAATTAGAGTTAAAACTTAATTACAATGGTAATAGAATCACGATGAAAATCCAGATAAAGTTTGAAATAAATTTAATGTAATATGATGAGATCAGTGTAATAAAAGTAATAAGTGCAAGAAATATAAATTGTTCAACTTGCGGTAATTCTAAAAAAAAATGACTTCTTTTAATTGCACCTGTCTAAACTTTTATATTTGCAATATTAAACAAATTAAATATATATATCTATATGAAAGAAATATATATCACACAAAATAACCTAAGGAGAACAAGAAAATCAAAATAATGTCAATTTGACGTCATATTGACGAATTTGTGTCATTTTTTTGTCATAATAAAAATCTTGATCTGATGATTTATATATAAAATCATTCTTAGATCATCTGAGATCGAGATTTTTATCATAACCAAAAAATGACAAATTCGGTCAATAAGTATGATGACAAATTGATATTATTTTGATTTTTTTGTTCTCCTTGGGAAGCAAAAAGTGACAGTAGAAGAATATAGAAAATGAATAGATTACAGAACTCGAACTCGAAATTAGCATCGCTTATTTATCGATGTATATATCTTACAATTTCGTCGAAATTCTCAAATCACGAAAAAGATTTCTCTCTTGTTCATAAATTATTTTCTTCCTTTTTCTTTTGCTCTAAAGATCGACGCAGCAGCTGTCACTTTTTCCACTTTTTTAAATAATTTCCGTTTCGTTCTTGATCAATTTTAACGAAAATAACGAGATCTGATTTCAGATTTGAAGCTTCATAATTTCTTCATTCTACACACCGATCATTGCATAAATAAACAATAGATACTTATAATAGAAACAGTAGTAGCAAATTACGCCGCGTATTTACTATGTATTACAAAACCTACACAGAGAACATACAGAACTACAGTCAACTATAGCACAGCACACAACATTGTCAGAGAGAAACCTGAGGGAGAGGCCATGCCGGGCTTTTTCCTATTATCGTCGAAATCGCCCGTACACCCAAGGACTTCGATTCTTTCCTTCGGTTACTTTTTAAAACTTTCAAAAATTCAGATTATTTCGTTTTTATGCCAAATTTAGTTATAAGCGGACGTAAAGTTTAGTCGTGTCGTTAATCGCGCACGGACTACACAGAACATATAAAGAGAAACGCATGATCCGTATTAAACATGGACGTATGAATATCTGGGCTGCGTTCGAAAATATCACCCGAGTGCCCTCGCTTGTCATTTCATCTTTGTTATTCATTCAATATTAAATAAAGATAAAATGGTACATAGGGGCACCCGGGTGATGTTTCCGAACGCAGCCTGGACGGAGCCTGCAGGGGTCGATTACGTATCTTGAAATGAGGTGAAAATTACAAAAGTGAGCAAATTCACTAGTGATTGACCAATTAAATTATGAGTATTCTAGTGAATTTGCTCACTTTTGTAATTTTCAATTATTTCGAGATATATAATCGACCCCCAGGCGCGGGGGTAAAAATTTTAGGGGAGGAGGGGACCGCCATTTTGTCTGGCGACATTTTAGCGCTCTATTTGAAAATCGACATATGATATTATTTATATTTCCAGTGCATGAAAATAGGATTTTGTGTGAGACAAAATTAATTCAACAGTTGTGTGCAATTAAAAATAATTTTCTGTTTATATTGAAAGAAGTAATGAGTATATATATCCATTTAGATACACACGCACGCACGCGCACACACGCACGCGCACGCAAGAGTATAAATATATATATATGTATATATATAATTATAAGTGAAACTGCTTTAAGTAAAATTTTAACGAATTATATTCGTAATCAGCAAAATCAACTTTATTTTAATAATATGATTACCTATAAACTATGATTATTATTTTTATTGTATAGCTAAAAATATTAAAATATTAAAAATATTACGTTAGTTATCTGTATACCCCGAATAAAAATATATTACTAGTGCAATAAGTAAATTCGAATAGTGTGTAATGGTAGTGGAGAAAATTTCATTAAAATTACACTGAAATTTTATTGTGAAAATAAATATTATTGATTAGCTTTATATTTCAGAGGATATGACAAAATTATAATAAAAAAAGATTTCCTTTATGAATTCTAAAACTAATTTTATAATGCAGATATGTCACTTTGTGTCATTTCATTCAAAATTACCGCGATGCAAATGTTTAAAATGGCCGCATCTGATTAGTCCGGATCCACAATGGGTGTTTTAAGCCTTAAGCCGTAAGAATTTGACCAATTACAGTCGAATTCGAGGAGAATAATCGACTATGATTCGTCGATTTTTTATGGCTTAAGGCTTAGAACTCTATTGTAGATCCGGGGTTATGTGCAGAACGGTACTGTCACGGGTAAATTCGTCTTGAAAACGAACCCACCTTCTTTCCTTCCACCATAGTAGGAATGCGCAGTGGTCTTACACGAAACGAGCATCCATACCCTCAACATCTTTGTATTTATATCATGTGTGCCATGGGCTTGATTCCGCGTTAAGAATGTTAATATACTTACGTTTAAGATCTTGATGCGCGGATGAGAAGTCGAAGGCGTGCGATTCCTTCGTTACGAGGAGGATCGGACTTCATCGAACGAAAAAATTGAGTAAAAGGTCGATAAAATGTGTCACATCGAACGCGTCGCCTTTAGTCCGTGAACCGTTCGACGCTCGCAGTTCGCTCTAACCTTCCACGTTTTTAACGGATTGCTTTGACGCTCGCGAAGATCCCGACTTCGATCTCCTCACTCTACGATTCTGCAGTAGATCCTCTCGTCGCATTTTTTCATGAGTCGCAACGAGATTGGAAATATGTCCGACCAGTTAGCCGAATCTGTGGAGGATGACAGCTCTGTCACAATGCTCGATGTTCTCCAGGTAGAAAATCAGCTTGAAGAGGATGCATATGCCGTTCTAGGCGCGTCCGACGATCAGAATTGTACTTACAGTAAGGTAGCCATGCTTTTGATCTTTTGCCTGACAGTATTGCGTTTTACAGTTTTATTCTTCGTTTAACTAACTAGTTTATTTTTAACAACTGTTCATAGGGATATATAAGACAGGCGTTATACGCATGCAAAACATGCTGCTTGGACAAAATTCGAGCTGCCGTCTGTTTGGCATGTAGCTTTCACTGTCATGAAGGCCATGAACTCGTAGAACTGTATACAAAGCGACACTTCAGATGCGACTGTGGAAATACTAAGTTTGATGGCAAACAATGTAATTTAGAGAAAGTAATGGATCTTTTACTTACATATCTTTATACGTTTTATATAAAATTATATTGCGTTGATTGACCAATGCTTATTGTGCTTTCTAGCTAAAATCTGCTATCAATACTGAAAATAAATACAATCAGAATTTTGATGGTATTTATTGCACCTGCGCAAGACCATATCCTGATCCAGAAGGTGATGAAGATGACATGCTACAATGTATTATATGTGAGGATTGGTATCATTTGAAGGTAAATTACAAAATCCCTACATAACTTATATTAACATTTTTTGGACTTTGTATTCATTGTTTAAAAAATTTATATATATATGTATATATACGTACACTCACATGCAAAAAAAGTGGGCCACTAAATTTTAGCAAATATTTTTAATATCTTTAAATAGCAATAACTCACAATCAGTAAAAAATCGTATCAAGATGAACCACGTCTCAAATTAAAGCTTAAACGTTCTCCTTGATAATCGTGCGGATTAAATTTGAATTACAAAATGTATTACAAAATGGCAGATGTTAGAGATGGACATAGAAAGATAGGAAAAAAAAATCTTATTCAAACTATTGCATGGCTCCAGGGAATTGGCTACCTGGCACAAAAGTGTGCGAGTCTTTAAGCTCATTGATTTCCAAACAAATCCCTTTTTTGAACATTTTTCTAAAATTTTTTTTGACAAAGTTATTGTTTATCATCTTTTTAGTACTGCATTTTTTTATTTTTACTGGCACAAGAAAATCGGCATTAAAAAATTCTGAAAAACTTCTCAGAACTTTTATGAGAAGAAAATAAACAATTTTTGTCTCGCTGTTTTTCTGTAAAGTTGATAGTATTTGAGAAAAAAATTATTGAAGACCAATATATTCGGCAATTTTTAGTAATTAATATCTTGTTAACTATTGCGAAAATTGCAATGGTACAGGACTTTTTGACTCAATTTAGTCCGCTCTATTTACATAAGAGCGCTTGGTAAAAAATTTCGGGACACCCCGTGTGTGTGTATATATATATATATATATAATTGAATTTTAAAAAAGTCAACGTGAGTATTCAAGAGATAAAAGATAAAGAAAAGAAATAAACACAAAAAGTAAAATGTTGTTGATTGGGTTAATTTTTGAAAGATTTACTTAAGATTTATTCTATGTATATATGTCTATATTTAATAAAGATAAACTTTAAAGGACTAAAAAGGATTTTTTTAGCATTTGGAATGTGACAACAATGCACCAGCAGATAATGCTTATGATGAAATGATATGTGCAGGCTGTATGAGGAAACACAACTTTCTGTGGAAATATGCAACGAAACATGCAGGTTACTTGGACTCTTGTGATACCTACACAAACTTAATTGTAAATTATTATTGTTAATGTATTTAATTGTAAGCTTATGAATATGTAATTTTGCTGCGAGTAGTCCTAAAGAAAGCAGATGTGAAATCGGATGTATCTGAAAAAAATGAAGATATAAACATCAGTGAGTTGCCCAAAGGATGTCAAATGCCAAAATTTAGCTGTGCAGATACTAAAGGAAGTTGTTTTTGGATAGAGGGTTGGAGAACCGCACTGTGCACTTGCGACGAATGCAAATCGGTGAAATATTGACTTTTTTCACATACTTTCGTTATTACTGACATTACATTTGTTAAAAGACTTGTGCATCCTTGTATGACAATCTTTTATTATATTTTTTATCATTATTGCAGTTATATAATGCAAAAGACATTGCATTTTTACTTGATCCAAAAGACAGTGTACAAGCATATGAGGAAGCAGGAAAAATGAATAAGCAGGAATCTCAATACGAAAAAGGCATGAAAGCTCTTGCCAGCATGGGGCATGTACAAAAGTTAACAGCGATTGAAGGTAAAACTATGAGATTAAAAATATTTTATGAAATATGTTTTCGAATTAAATTTTTCAAAAATTGTACCACTTCACTAACGTTTAAGCTGTTTATAATCGTTTACAGAATATAACAATATGAAAGAACGGCTTATGCAATATCTACAGAAGTTTGCTGAAAACAAGAAAGTTGTACGTGAAGAAGATATTAAAGAATTCTTTTCGGAAATGGAATCCAAAAAACGTCCTAAAGTGACAGTGCCAACATATTGTCGTTAAAAACTTATATTTATACAGGGTGTCCCGCAATTTTTGGCAAAGCGCTTTTGTGTTGATAGAGCGGACTAAACAGTTGAAAAGTTGCAATTTTTCGAAATAGTTAATGAGATATTAATTTATAAAAATAGCCAAATTTACCCGGCCTACCGTCAAAGGTAAGCGGGCGGCGAGATGAGATCACCCAGAAAGGTGCGCATTTGCCATCGCTAGGCATGTTAATGCCAATGTCGTTCATAAACAATGTGTTTAGCGACGAAGAACGTGCATCTCTCTGGACGGTCTTATTTCGCCGCGCGCTTGCATTTGGTGGTAGGCCGAGCAAATTTGGCTATTTTCATAAATTAATATCTCGTTAATCATTTCGAAAATTGGTAGAGAACTTCTCGACTCACAATCAGTTTAATTCGCTCTATCTACCCAAAAGCGCTTTGCCAAAAATTACGGAGCACCCTGTATGTACCCCCATAGTTAACAATGATCTAAATAAAAATAAGCACTTTATTGTTTCTATAGCAGGATATCTTGAGTTTTGAGAATTTTATATCTAACGTTTAATTGGTACATGTCACTACATTGAAAAATCTCTGAATAAAAATTTTCATATATAATTACAGGAAAAAATGAAAAGAAATGTGAAGAAAACGTAATTTGCAGATATAAATATGTCAAGGAAAGATATTAATTAAGAGAAAAAATTCGTGGTTTCTTTGCATGTATTATAACATATAATCTTTAATTCGATCTAATTATGAATAAATTTTTTATTGAAAAATATAACGAGTAAGTTCTCGTCTATTTTCTGTTTCCTTATCATTTCTTTCCTTGCTCCTATACTTTCACGTTTGCGTTCCACACGAATATATTTGTCTGGTACTTTTCATAAAATAATATATAGTTGCTTCCATTTACACCGATTCTCAGATAATTCTCACTTGTGACGTCATAACTCAGTAAAATTTTTGTACGTGTGATGGCCTTTAAGTTGGGCGCCAGGCACGAGAGAGCGTGCCCCTCTTTCGTTAACTTTTGACTTGCTCTAAATCAATTACGCACAACTATAAGTCGCGACGGCCACAGGGGTGGGTCGATACAGGTAGGAAGATTAGCGGAGAACGAGAGAGATAGGCTATAATAATGACACACAAATTAATAATAAAGTAAATAAACAAGTGTATTCTAGAAATCGGATTACAAATAATGTTCGAAACCTCGCTCTAGAGGCCAGATTTTAGAGACCCAACATTCGCGGGAGGAATCGACAACCTTATTAACGTCGGTTCGACAATCGTACCAAATCTCACCAGATACCGACTCTACGGTCGCTCCCCTGTAGTGGAATTTTGTAACTCGTTATGCAATCGTTATGTGCTCATGGCTGCGG